TTTTTTCTCTTCTTTACTGTCTCTGCTGGACTGACTCGTGTCTCTGCATGCGGAGACAAAGATGCCGCTGTTTCTCATTGTTATCATTGTGGCTCTATTTCTACTTCTTACACTTGACATACCCAGGAGCGTGCATGTCTCAAGTCCTCTATTTCCCTTTATTGCCCTCATACCCCTTTTTATCGAGCCCACAGGGCTGGTAGCATTGTGGTTTCGACCATACTAATTGAAAACATTTCAATTAAGACTGTCTTTTGTAGATCTCTATAGATCCAATAAAACCCCAAATGTGGCTTGCTACACTATGACACAGGTAACCCGATGCGGCCAAGAGCGACACTCGGCGAAACGCCATCCAATCGACTGACGGGTCATTACGAGCGGACAAATAACCGGACCGTATGTCCTGCATACCCCGTGAAGAAATTACGCCGATCAATCCGCGATGTGACACCGGCAGGCGCACATAAGCTCGGTAGTGTCCAATTAATACAGCCACTGATATCATTGCCGCCCTCGTCTGCAGTATGCGGGCATATATGCGCATATCCGCGCATCCTAGTCGGATATACAGTAGGAATACGGTGTACCGATTCATTATTTGAAACAATGCTTTGTATTAGTTAAGGATCTGGTACGTAACTAATGAGTTATATATTTTGGATGACCTATCCAACTGGTTCTATAGGGTGTTCTGATTAGAGGCCGTGCTGCCTATGGGTAGTAACGAAGATACTGTGGAAAATGGAGGGTGTTAATTTAGAGGCAGGATGAGGCTGTTATGATAAATTCTTCCATCTGCACCGCCTAGTTTACTCGGACAAGACAGCTTGTTGGCTACTCTGCGACATCCGGGGCAATGGACATAGACTCATACACATACACACAGTCATCCATGCTTCAGCTACAATGATTCGCAAGGTAGTTACTGGAACAGTGTACGGAGATTATCTTCGAAACCACATCTAGTGAGAATCAAAACGCCAAAATGGCACATATACGGGGAGTGATCAATAGGAAAGGTGAAAAGCCAGGTTAGGGATCAGCAGGGATACCCTTGTTGAAGTCCTGATAAGGAACTGATTTGGAAAACTTCTGTGTGTATGTGTGTTGGGCTGGGGGAGTGCGCGCAAGGGGACTCTTTGGGTAGTTAAGAGGCAAAGTAGGCAAAATAACAAGGAGAATGAAAAAAACGAAAAGAGGAGACAGGATGGATATCCCCCAGGGCAGAGAACAAGCGCCGGGCCAAAGCAAAGGCAAGTAGGCAAGCAGACAAGCAGAGAAGCTTCAAGGAAAAAATGACCCAGAGAGCAGGGTCACCCAAAGATCGCAATATTCTCACACCAACCCTTGCGAGTCCCTGCGACAATAAACCGACAATCGGGGCAACACATCTCATCATCCTTCCTCCTTCATCTCGAATCTATCTCCTTGTACTAGAAGACCCGTCGCGCGCTCTCTTTCTCTCGGTTGTTCCATCCGTCCTGAGGACGCGTGCCCATCAACAAGGTCTTTTTAGGTGTTAATCATTTACTCGGCGGCGGGCTTCTCGGCCTCAGCGGCCGGGGCCTCCTCCTTCTTCTCAGCAGGGGCAGCGCTCTCGGAAACGGGCTCAGCCTCGGACGAGGTCCAGAGAGTCTGGTGAGAAACGTGGGTCAGTGTATGAACAAATTTGAATCAGTGTGTGATTTGAGCACTTACGAGGTTGTCACGGAGAAGCTGCATGATGAGAGTAGAGTCCTTGTAGCTCTCCTCGCTCAGGGTGTCGAGCTCTGCAGACAAACATTAGCTTTGGTCAATGCACGTGACGGAATTTGAACATACCAGCAATGGCATCATCAAATGCAAGCTTGGCGAGGTGGCAAGCCTGGTCGGGGGAGTTCAGGATTTCGTAGTAGAAGACAGAGAAGTTGAGAGCAAGTCCGAGACGGATGGGGTGGGTAGGAGCAAGGTCAGTCGAGGCGATCTCGGTGGCAGCCTTGTAGGCCTCCAGAGAGTGATCAGCAGCACCCTTGCGGCGGTCGCCAATGGCGAACTCGGCAAGGTAGCGGTGGTAGTCACCCTTCATCTTGTGGTAGAAGACCTTGGACTCGCCGCTCTGGGCGGACTTGATGAGGTGGTCGTCCAGAACCTCGAGGATATCGTCGCAGATCTTGGCAAGCTCGGCCTCGATCTTTTGACGGTACTCCTTGATGAGAGTGACCTGGGACTCGTTGCCCTTAGACTCCTCCTTCTGCTCAATAGAGGTGACGATTCTCCACGAGGCACGGCGGGCACCAATGACGTTCTTATAGGCAACAGACAGGAGATTGCGCTCCTCAACGGTGAGCTCAACGTCGGCCGAGGCGACGACCTTCATGTTCTCGACCATCTCTGCGTCGCATTGTCAGGAGTCTGTGCAACTGAACGATCTAGATTTAAGAGAAACCAACCTTCATAGCGCTCGGCCTGCTCAGCGAGCTTGGCGAGGTAAACAGCGTCTTCGTGACCCATGGTGAATGTGTGTTTTCTACAGTCCGAACTATGTTAGCCAATCTTTTTCTTCTCACATGAGTCTTTATTCTTGGATTGATGATGTTCGATGCGAGGGCTGAAAATCACGCCATGGGACAGTGCAAGTGGCGATGGCGAGGGGTAGATATCGACCCTCGACCCCCCTTCGAATATACGGGGAAGGGCCCAGTTGAATTTTGATGAGTATCACATAGAACGTCTCTGAATCAAGATATTGGAACGAAAAACTAAAAGACCCCAGAGATTTGGCCGATCATGACGATCGTGGCGGTTACAGGGCCCTTCTTCCCGTGTGTCGTTGGGGAGTATCGCAGGAAAGCGGTCGCGGCAACGGGTCAACTCGTGAACAGGGAGACGAGAACATGTGGTTTCCACCGTAGATTGTAGCGCGATTCCATGATTTGAATTTGGGCAGAATTGTAGTTTTCAGATTGGTCTCTTCCCATCATGGATTGTTGATGTGTGGGTTTTGCGGTGATGACGGGGGGTGGGCATAGAAATAGGGCGAGAAAAGGACAGATTCAACTGGGGGAACGACAGGAAGACACTGACCTGGTTTGTGAAAGAGGAAATGAAGGCGATTAAGGGATAGCAAGATGGAAGATGGAAGAGAGTAGGGAGTTGAAAGAGAGGAGGTAGGAGGAAAGGAGGGGGGCAGAAGGCGGTGTTGTTGGGATTTACCTGAACAACCCACTTCTGTTCGGGCTTTGTGGTTTTTTTTCTTAGGAAATATCGAAAATGACAAGTCGAGGTCACTTGGACCTGTTCTTTTTCTTCTAATTATTTTATTTTCTATATATATACAAAGAAATCCAGGAAGATATGGCTTTTTTGCCAATCTATACACAGCACACCTTCTCTCATCGCTTCTGTGTGGTTCGGTGGGCCGCCTACAGCGTCATCCCTCATTCGGCATCCGCCAATCGCCCGGTTCCTTACTTGCGCCTCATTCGAGATCATAAACCAAGGCAGACAGCATGTGTCGGAAGCAGTCTAGAACGAATCGATATACAGCATAAAGGCTTGGCTATTGGCCTACCGGGATCGCAAAAGAACGCAAAAGAAGGGGGGAAAAGAGTCAGCTGCGGTAGATTAATGATGTGATCATCCCTGCAACCCCTGTGATCCGAAGTAGTTGAAGTACAATCGTATACAACTCGCAAGGGCCCAAGTGGAAAATCGAATGAGAAGGCCGCGACTTATCAGAAATTTTTGTTCACATGACCTTCACCTGACATAAGCTTGTTTCTTCCGAATCCCCATCACATGATTTGGCTTGGCACGGAACGTTACCTTCCTCGTACCCGAGCTCACCTCGTAAATCCTACCTGAACCACTTCTACCATCTAAATCATCAACATGCTTCGTCAATTTGTTCGTCCCGCTGCTACTGCCAACCGGGCAGTTTTCGCCCGCTCCTTCTCGGTAGCCGTCCCTCGCATGGGCGAAGGTGACACCGGTGCTCCCCGCACTAGCGGTGGTACCTCCTCCGGGTAAGTGCGATGCACGTTGACTGCGGATTTTACGCTCGAAGTACAATTGTACCGAGTAGACAGCCCATGTCTGCCTTGCCGCAGCTGGGTGACATATCTGTATGATCGCTAACGTTGGGTCCTACTAGTGACTCGTTCACCAAGCGCGAGGCTGCCCAGGAGAGCCTTTACATCCGTGAGAAGGAGCTTGAGAAGTAAGTTCCGCGCAAAGCCGAGAACAATCAGACAATCAGACTCGAGCGGGGAGCTAATCTATTTTGACAGGCTTGCTCAGCTCAAGAAGAAGATCGGCGAGCAGCGCAAGCACTTGGATGAGCTCGAGAGCCACATGTAAGTCCAAGTCTGGAAATACTCTCCTGCCTATTTCCTTTTCAGTTGAAAGTAAACGGCAAGGCTAACTAGTTTCTCTTTAGCGATGGCTTGAGCCGCTAAATCCATACACCCATTCATCTCATGTTTAATATGAAGGGCCCTTCCATTGCTGTGTATAATACCATCTTCGCTCCAACGAGCTATCGTGCTTGCCTGCTGCATTGAGGTCGTATCGTTTTCAGCGCCTGTTCCTAAACAGGACATCTCTCTACCATAGCATATGGAATTTCTGCGCTCTGGTGTATAGCTCAGTAGCTCACTCGGAAATATTATTGAGAAACCTCGGTAAAATAAACCATGTTTCAATCTGTACGGAGAGTAGTCTTAATAAACTACCTATGTACTCCATATGTTCTTGGTCTTTGTACAAGTACACGAGATTCCTCATCTTTTCGCAATGTTTATGCTTTCTTTTGGCCTCAACTAACCCGAGAACATTGTCTTGCAGCAAATGTTTACCCAACCAGGTTTACCAGCATTGTACAAGGATTATACGAGTTATATGACTAAGTTGTATCTTGCCAGCCGTCTCCACAAAACAAAGCATGATCACCCAGCTTAGGCTGAGGCTCCTTCCATCTTACCTCGACCCAACGCCCAACCCCCCAGAAATACCCCGCCATGTCTCTCCTCAGTTTGCCAAACGAAATTTTGCTAGCCATAGCAGAGAACCAAGACTGCGAAAAAGACATAAATGCGTTTGCAAGAACCAGTGGCCGTTGCTATATCCTCCTGAACCCCTTCCTCTATGCCTACAACGTCCGAGAGCACCAGGGAAGCGCCCTCCATTGGGCAGCAACCCAAGGAATTGTGAGGGCGGCCCAAGAATCACTCCAGCAAGGAGCAGAAATTGAATCGAGGGACTGGGAAACACAAAACCCGCCGTTGATACTGGCCGCTTACTACGGCCATGCTGATATGGTTACCTTCCTGTTGGCACAGGGCGCTGACCCGTACGCCGAAAGCGGCGGGAGGACCCAAGACGCGATCACATCAGCTGTGCTCCGCAATAAAACAGCCGTCGCTGAAATCTTGCTTGATAGCGGGATTGATGCAAATAGGACGGACTACAGGGGAAGCAGCCTATTGCATCTTGCGGCTGAATCATCTCCCCTCAGCCTCAAGGCAGTGGTGAGAATTCTTATTGAGAGAGGTGCCAATCTGGAATCTAGGAATGAACTGAGTCAGACTCCGTTACAGGTAGCGTGTAAGTCTGGTTCCGTGGAAGTGGCCCGATGTCTCATAGAGAGCGGTGCCAATTTGAATGTGCGGAGTGAAAGTGGAAGTTCGCTCCTGCACCTGGCGTTCAGTGAAGTCAAGACCGTTGAGTTGTTGGTGCAGAAAGGAGCTGATATCGAGGCGAAAGATGAGCAAGGTGAGACACCACTGCATCTGGCATGTCGGGATGGCTGGGTCGAAACAGCATCATTCTTGCTGGACCATGGTGCAGATATAGAGTCAAGATCGCTAGATGGGAGCACACCATTGATGCGGGGAGTACTCTGGGAGAGTATTATATGCAGGGAGCTGGGCCCAACCTCTGTGACCACCCTCTTGCTGTCACGAGGTGCCAATCCAAGGCAGGGAAATGATTTCGATATCACACCATTGCATTGTGCGACGGCCAAAGCAAATTCTGCGCTTTTCAGGCTATTGCTACGATATGGTGCCGATGTAGAGCCAAAAACTAGGGCTGGCGTGACGCCGCTACACAAATTAGCGTCCACTGGCTCACTGGACTCCGCAAGGCAATTGTTGCAGAGAGGCGCTGATGCACAACCGAGGGACGAAGAAGGCAATACACCATTGCACATGGCAGCGGAGAGAAATGATGTGGAATTCATCAGTTTGCTGCTAGCGGCAGGCGCTGACCGGCTGGTCAGAAACAACAAGGGTCAATTTCCTATACATGTAGTATCAAAAGCAGCACACAAATCAGAAGAAAGACAGAGAGAAGTGATGGCTCTCCTCGAGGTTTGGTCTGATAATTAGCATTAGCCATAGTGACCAAAGACATAATATACAACAAATATCTGAGAAGAGTTTGTCAATCCTATTGCATTAGATTCTACAAAGGTTCGAAATTTGTTAATCACAAAGCACATGCAAGCATTTTATTGTGACGGACTATTAGCATTCCCAGACTACAACAGAAAGCACATCGAGGTGCCACGTAGCCAATAACTCCGAGTTCAAATCATTAAAAAAAGCCATCCAGCCCTTTACCGTCCTTGCATGAAGGAGCGGTAGAAATCATCAGCAGTGTTGTTGTTGCCCATGCCATTGTTGGGATAACCGTATCCGAGACGGGCAGAGATTGATTGGCCTGCCTTTTGGGCGGCGGTGACCTTGGACTGCAGATCCGAGGTGCCTTGGTCGATGAGCTGCAGCTGGGACAGGTGCGCGTTGAGAATACGGACAATCTGCGAAATCTATAGAGATGCGTAAGCAAAAGAATAACCCTAAAGAAGGGATCAATACTGGTTTGTGACTTACCGGCTCATCTGCGTTGTTGGTCTTGGTCAATGTGGATGAAGCACCGTTGACCTCTTCAATCATGCTGGTAAGATCCTTGCCCATTTCGTCCAAGCGTTCCGAGAGCTTTTCGGCCAGTTTGTAGCTAATGGCTAGATTAGCAAACCATATCAAATGTTGCGTTGTGTGTTGTACTTACGTTGTCTCACGCTCCTGGTCAGGTCCTTGAAGGGACTCTCCAGGGCCCACCTGCTTGGTAACCATCTCGTCGACTTCACGCTCATATCGATCTAGCCATGAGCTGAGCTCATCCTGTTGACCTTCAACCGCTGACAATTGGCGCTCAACCTCCTGGGTAGCTCGATCCGCATCAACAGTGCTGCCGTACAGCTTCTGAACCTTGGTACCATTGTCCACCAGCAGACGGTCCCACTCGGAAACCTTCTCCGCCTGTTCGCGGAAGTCCTTTTGATATTTGCCGAGATCCGTGGCCCATCGGGTGATGATCTCATCCATAGTTTTGTTCTTCAGGCGTGACTGGGCTGGAGGAGCGGGGCCGGCAGTAGACTGGCCAAGGGCGGCGGGCCCAGCTGCAGCAGCTGGAGCAGCGGATGTAGTCGAAGCAGCCGTCGTTTGGGGTGCTGAACTGGCGGAGGTCGCTGGTTGCGCCGAGGTGGTAGTAGCAGCTTGACTGAACAAGCCGCCCGTAGGTGCAGCAGGTGTAGTAGTGGCAGGCGCGGTAGTGGCCGCAGTACCTGAAGTAGTTGTGGGAGCTGAGGTGTTGAACAGGCCTCCAAGAGAAGCTGTTGCTGGAGTAGTCGACGGAGCAGCCGTGGATGTAGCACTTCCGGCGGAAGGGAAAAAAGGCTTTTGAGGGGTAGCACTCGAGGTAGTGGGTGCTCCTAGGGAGAGAGTTGTGTTTGCGGTGGAGGCAGGAGGAGTGCCTGCCAGGTTCTTGAACATAGACGGTGTCTGTGAGCTTTGCGCACCACCCGCGGGTGCAGCTGCGCCGAAGAGCTTAGGAGTGCTATCTGCAGTACTCGTGGGAGTGGCTGAATCGGCCGGCTTGCTTCCACTGAATAGACCACTGCTGGGCGCAGTAGCGGTTGCGCCACCAAAAATCGGCTTGGTTGCTCCCCCTCCAAACATATTGTTAGATGCCTGTGAAGTAGCAGGCGTGGTAGATGACGGCGCTAGGGTGGGGGTAGTCGAGACTCCGAATAAGCTACTGGGTGGGTTAGATGCCGGCGGAGGACCAGCAGGGGTGGTGGAGTTGTTGCCAAACAAATTGCCTCCCGCGGGAGCGGGGGTAGCTGTTGTAGCGGCGTTGCCAAACATATTCTTTGCACCTGCTCCACCAAACATCGTACTACCGGCAGGTGCGGCCGATTCTGTAGACTTGTTGGGAGTCTGGTTGCCAGCAGTGGCGCCAAAGAGGTTAGGCTGCGTGCCAGTTCCCGATGGAGCCTTGCTGCCGAAGTTGAAGGCCGAGGTACCGCCCTTGGTCGCATTGGCAGCGCCTGCGTTTCCGAAGGTTGGTGTGCTTTGGCCACTTGCGGAATTTCCTCCAAACATCGATGTGCTGTTGCCGGTGGACGAAGCTCCAACATTACCGAAGAGCCCACCACCAGACGCATTGTTATCCTTGTTGGCACCGAAGGCATTGCCTGCTGTGCCGAAAAGAGATCCACTAGAGGCGCCAGTAGAGGCCGGGGAGTCGAAAGAGAACACCATGGTGCTGGTGACCGAGCTTCAGGATTGGGAGGGAAAAAGCTGGATGGAGAGAAAGCACCAGCGACACGGAGCAGGAAAGGTGGGCCTGCAGAATGGATCAAAAGACCCAACAGTAGGAGAATGGAGCTCTTGATCGAATGAAGTGAGACAAAGAGCCCAAGGGTGGAATGAGAAAAGAAAGTCGAAGACAATAGACAATAGACAATAGACAATAATAATTGGAAGGAGTTTGGCAAGCACGCGCTGAAAACTTGGCGCCTTGAATACAAGGCAGTAATTATGCCTGAATAAAGTGGCTAACATATTGATAATTAGTGCCTAAGGCATACATGTTCTGGACTCACATCGATCGCAGGGAAACAAGTCCTCACTGCGCACTACACACGACCCCATTGCATTTTGAATTATTCATTTATACGTGCCCCTTCTTTCATGTTAACACCCTGAATTCAAGCTGCAATCATGTCGGAGGGGCCGTCCGATTTGTCTAGTTCGCATCTAGAGCCACCCAGCAGAACTACGGAAATGCAAGATCCAGGAGCTGGCGACCACAGTACTTAACCCTTCCATATACTTGAATATTTGTTTGAAACTGACATTTGTTCTAGTAGCTTCTGAAAGTGAAGATGAACACTTCTCAGATGCCAGCGAAGGCAATCCCGAACTCCTCCCACAATCTGGTCGCAATTCCCCTATCCCACGAACGCGAGTCGAGAGGGTTGACAGCAGCACCCAACATGGAGAGATTCCTGGCACAGCAGCATTCGAAAAGAGAGAGCAGGATGCAGTTCCTGATGAGGTTGAGGTTATCCCAGAAGGCTCGGACAGCCAGATGCCTTCGCCTGCAGACGACCAAAGCTTGAGCCCAGAAGGCTTACCGTTTCCACGCACAGTGGTTGAGAAGGTGGACCCAGATGAACCTAGCCATGGCGAAGTCCCCGGAACATTGGCCCATGAACAACGTCTTGCCGATGCTGTGCCCGACGTGGTGACCAAGGCTTCAGATTCCGAGAGCAGCCCAACGCCACCAGCATCCGACCCTACACTTCCTGAGACCGATGGATCTTCAATAGAAATTCCCGAGACACGGCTCGAGCGGGTGGACACAGCTCCCGCTGACGAAGACCTGCCGCCACACCCACAAGCTCATAAAAGCTCAGCAAGTGACGCATTACCCGATACGGTAGAAACCGTCCCGGATGTCTCAATACATGATACAGACCTGGAAACCAAAGACCCCTCATTAGAGGATGACATGAACGATGACCACGGATATGAAAAGCAAGAAGCGGGTGATGATTTTGATGAATTTGTAGAAGAGCAGGAAGACATGGGAGATGATGATTTTGGGGATTTTGATGACGGCTTCCAGGAGCCCAGTGCAGAGGAAGCCCCCATAGACGATACCGCGGCATCTCAGCAATCTCGAGCACCCCCACCTCTTATTGACTTCGACACATACACATCCACCTCCGCACTCCTCGATTCCCTCAAAGACACCCTCGACATTCTCTTCCCCGAAACCCAAGACATAAGCTCTCTCCCCCCTGTCGAGCCAATCCCCGACTCCGCAGCAATCTTCAGCACCGAGCGATCCCTCTCACTGTGGTCCCAGCTCGTGGCACCACCACCCCTCCAGCCTCAGAACTGGGTAAAATCCCGCATTCGCCGACTATTCCTCGTATCCTTGGGCGTGCCCGTTGATCTGGATGAGATTCTCCCAGCCTCCAAACAGAAAAAGCTCGTTCTTCCTTCTATTGACCTTGAAGGCACCGGCGCAAAGAGCCCCGGCGCTCGTTCCGCTAGTCAAGTCCGCAAAGAAGAAGGTAACGACAACACCGGCGAAAAGGGGCAAGCCCCCTCCCGCCAGAAGGCTACTTCTCGCCGCGGCGCACCACCGGCACCGGAGATAGACCTCTCGGCGGTCCGCCGGCTGTGCGCCACTACCGATGCTGCACTGAGTGGTCTCACAGATTCAGAGTTGAGGCTGCATGTCCATGAACTGGAGCATGTTGCTCAGCGCGCTAGTTCGGTATTGGAGTACTGGCTGAAGCGGCGGGATGGCTTGGTCGGCGAAAAAGAGGCTTTCGAAGGAGTCATTGAGAACCTCGTTAGTCATGTTAGGAGGGTCAGAAAGTAGTCTTTCCTTACTCGGGCACTTGGTGTACTATCTGAATGCCCAATATAATATATTTTATATAATCTAATGTCGATACCAGAGAAAATCCACTTATACCTGCGAACTTCCCTGCGTAGACTGCAGCGTACGAGAGGACGTGTCCCAAGGGATTTTACCCCGTAAAAGAGGGGTCCACCCCCATCAAAAGCTCCGACCTGGCTCCACTGTATTGTTCCAAGGTTGATCTTGCGACCTAGGTGTGTCCTTGATGGCTATCATTGTTCACGATGCCCTTGTTCTGCGAGATACTTAATCCCTCCCCCTCTCGTTCCTCTCTCAAAAAGAATGCACTGAAGTACGATGACGCAATAATGGGGGGTTGGTTATGCACCTCTTTCAGTAGTCTTTTTAGCCGTCTTTTGGCGGTTTTTTGTGTATGGATGTCTTCTTCCCCTCCTAACTTACCTTTCTATGTATCTGGGTTTCTGCCTTGTTCGTACACTCCCAAGCCAGCTCACATCCTGCCTTCCTAGCCGAGCACAATACAACCCAAAGGCAAGTATCTTTGTACTCATCTCATCAGGATGTCAAACAGTGGTGTCACTGCCGCTCTATCTTTTCCGTCCGCTCTACCTGATAACCACATGGTTCGGGTGTTTACCTCTATGAACCGTCTCCGTACCGCTGCAAATGAGGTCTTCGCATCTCTTGACAACAAACAAAGCACAAACCAATGGCTTCTTGTTCTTGGCCTCCCCACAACAGTCATCAAGCGCCTCGACGAAGACCGTAATTGCCTAGAGGCGATTAATTACCGGTTCCAATGGCAAGGCAGGAGCGGTCTGATAAAAGTCATCCCGACAGCCCAACACGAAATCATCACCACGAGGGTTATGTTCTCTGTGAATGACGCTCTCGCTGCAATGGGTCTACACTGGAGTGATTCAGAATGGGTCGGCCATACTACCTACAAGCCAAATCTTGCCAAAGGCAAACAGCCCGACAATGCATTTCTCCCGCCCTCCCGCTGCACGATACCACTCAGTTCGACGGGCTGGCCAACTCTTGTCATTGAGACCGGAGTGTCTGAAAGCTTGAGCCAGCTCCGCGCAGACGCAGCAAAGTGGTTTGCAGATTCGAACGGCGATGTTAGAATCGCGCTGGTTATCGCCATCAAGGACAGCAGGGTTGACATTGAAAAATGGCAATTGGCTCCAGAAGGTGCGTCCCCGCTGGATCTCCAGGTCCCCGACAGCCAACAACCATATTGCGCCCAGGAGATAACCATCACACCACAAGGTGTTACTGGGACTCCCCTTGTCTTGCCCTTCAATGCTTTGTATGATAGAGTCCCGGGCCCAGGGGAAACCGATGTCCTCATCACAACGGCAGACTGTTTGAAGATTACGACGAGGATGTGGTGAAGAGCACGAGGACTGTGTGCCTGAATGACGATGTTTTGACTTTGGCTACTTCCCGGTATGGCTTCGAGGGAAACGCTGGACGAGTTGATCCATGATTTATATTTGGTATTTCTCTGTATATGCTAGGAAAAACGCAGCATTTATGTAAACTTCTCTCGTCATGGTGTTTCAAATGTAATACTCCCATCAGTTCAAAAAGCAGCAATGTCTGAGGGAACGGAATGCCGAGAAGTGGCAGAGGAAATCCAATACATAGGTATTTATCTTGATATATGTAAGCAAGTTCTAGTCTAGTCACAACACCAGAGAGCTCAGGTAACCTGGAAAATAAGATGGGAGTTAAAAAATGAGCTAGCCGCTGAGTTTCACGTGAAGCATTGGATAAATAAGAAAAAGGCGGACGCAGCCGTAAAACCAGTCTCCCTAACGCCGGAGATAACAGATCATAAGAGAACATGGAGGAAATGCATTTGAAAAGCACGCAATAAGGGGTATCTTCTTTTCAAATGCATGCAAAGATAAACGAAAGACATTGGAAGGCCAAGGCCGCTAGAAAAAAAGAAGAAGGGAAGAATATTCGTTGAAACCCCGATAAGCTCATTAGTCCAATTCAATAACCGTATGTTCTTGGGTGCGAACAGCCGGGCTGTGACTGCCATGAGATACATTGTTCCTAGGGCGTACGGGAACAGGGCCCAAAGAGCCTTCAGCCTTGCGCTTCGGAGAGAAGGGGTTGTCTGTCACAGGCGAGATCTCATCAGTGTCGTACTTGGGGGTCCAGGTTCCATCGACTTTGATCTGGATTGCTCTAATCCCATCGAGTCCGTTCGTTCTAGCAAGCTGGGCGTGGACATCGACAAGGAACTGATCAACGACCAAGAACTGCGGGCGTGCATCTCCCTTGCAGATCGGGCAGCGCCAGTTATCGACCATCGGTGTCGGGCCGGATACGGAATTTCTGGTTCTTATAAAAGTGTCACGGTCGAAGCATTCGTGGTGGAAGCAATAGCGCGAGCGAACGGGAATATCGAAGATGCGTGCCATGAAAGGGTCCACCAGGTCGATCGTGAGGTTGTCGGTGACCACGGCCAAATCATCGTCATCGGTGGTAGGAGCAAGACGCTTTTTGATGGCTGCACGAGATTCGGCAGCTGGGACGGATTGGATCAGGCTGAGTATCTGGTCGAACTCGGCAACCTCCATGACCTCCACCCCGAAGACGAATTTGGAGGTCTTACACTCATCCTGTCCTAAGATCATATCGAGCCGTACGCTGTTTTCGCCTGTTTTGATGTACTCGGTAATGTCCAAAGGCAGATCTTTTCCGTTGTGAACCTTTCGGCGCACATAGAGCTCTTTGTCGTTCACGCTAATATAGAAGACACTGGGCCAGAAAGTGTTCGCAGTACACCAGGTCTTCTCCGCCACAGTGTCCGGATTGCCAGGAAGACGAATGCATCGCAGGCGAATAGTCCGGCAACCGGGCCTAAAGGTCCAAACCGAATGTTGGCTCTGTTTCCCGTGAGCTATGTGTGGGAACTTTTGGCGCTCATCATGCGTGAAAGAGAAATTCCATGTGTAGATTGGCTGGTCAACGTTGACGATGGTTGGGTGTACAACGAATGTTTTGAGATAGGTAAACAAATCAGTCTCGATGTCATTACCATCCGAACCCTGTTTTACCAGCCTCTTCATAGGATCGCGAAGATCAACCAGATGTAGACCGAGACGCGTTGGATTTGGATTCACCGTCATAGGTGCTCTGTAGCCAGGTACCGGGAAGAAAGCAGAGTTAAGCGAAGGCTGGTGATGCTGTCCCTGAGCCGCACGTGTGACCGGTGAAGCAGACGACTGCAAAGCCGTCGAATGTTGTCGGTTATGATGGTTATTAGGCCTTTGTGGTGGCATCGGGTGCTGGGCCATGTGGCTTGTTGTAGTCGGCGTCGTGGATATGGACGATGGAGCATGGAGCAATTGCGCTGACTGTGTAGGGGTGAGAGCACTTGATTGGAGGGAGGGGTTAGCAGGCGATATTGGAGTCATTGTTCGACCGTGTAATTGTTGACTAGGTATTTGTTGACCATGTGAGCCTGGCAGTGATTGGTGCCTCGGAGAAGATGCTACTTGTCCGATCGATGTCTGTATGTGCATTTGCATCTGTGGGTTCATATGTGGATTTGTATGCAGATACATATGCTGTTGCTGATTCATATGTGGACTCCCCGGATACCACCATCCGTGTTCCTGTCTCGGCCCTTGCCCCTGTGGTATGGGATTGTAATGAGATTGCGGGGTATTCTGCATTTGTGGGTTTACGCCAGATTGATAGGGCCCAGCAGCCGGTCCAACAACCTGACCCCGGGGGGAATTTGAGGGAAGCTGCTGCAAAGGTGCACCAATTGGGCTTGGAGCAGGTGAATTTGTGGCAGGTTGACTGACACCAGCAACCGAAGATCTGGGATAGGAAGGTACTCCTGGAGTAGCTTGAGGCATGGCTCGATTCTGAGGTCTAGGAGGTGGTGCAGAGTGGGAGGATGGTGTTTGTGGTGTTTGTGGTAGGTATTTAGGCGGGAAGCTGCGATACTCTTGGACGAATTTCCAGTTGAGAGCCTGCTGAGTGGTCCCGGGAAGTCTAGAGTCCCTACACTTCTCAAAAGCTTCCAAATCTTTCCAAAATAACTTCAGCAGGGCATCCATGTCTTTGTCATGGTGAAGGTGCCGTGCAACACACGTGAACATCACCGACATCAAAATCTGAGATGGACAAGCGAGTGACTGCCAAAGGTGAGATACCAACGGGGGATGACGAGCCTGGTGCAAGATTCCATGCCATTCATTCGCAAGCCGTGCTAAAAACTCAGGAACACCAGACAGCACCTGAATGTACCAGTTTGTGTGCATCAACTGCTGTGGAGATGCCGGGAAATGGGCAAATCCATTGGTAGCGCCATCATGCATCTTTGCATTATCATCCAGAATAAGCCTGAGCAATTTCATGCCCGCGTTGGGGACTCTAATTTGACCCAATGTGCTTGCATCCGTGCTATATCGGCAGTACAATTGATGTATCACCAAATAGAAAGCATCCTTACGATTAATGGCCTGCTGCAACAGGTTAATCCGAGGCCGAACAATAGTGGTCTGGCTCAAGTGAGCAGGGGGTAATGCTCCCTTTGCAGACAAATCGTCCACCAAGGCATTCAATTGAGCAGACCATTGTTCCCATGTCTCATTGGGGATAGCCGCAATCCCAGCTCCCACATTCTGGAGCGGACTAGGTCGTGACCCTGACACTGCGTGTTGCTGTGTGCTAGTACCTGTGCGTGTGTCTGTGAGCGAGGGGGAGTCTGGGGGGCGATCCGCTCCCATTCGAGAGGACTGGGTCACGCGTTGTGACGCGGTGAGCCCGCTCGGAGGAGGTTGGACCGCCATGCGCTCATCATCGCCACGCTGTGCCGTGAGTTGTGTAGAGATTGGCGGCAGCGTGGAAGGTCTATCTGAGATGATCGCATCGGCGTTGACGGGACTTGGGTGAGAATTTGTACTGAGAACCGGTGAGGGAAGAGCCGTCGGTCGCGTGTCGGGCTTTTTTGCCGCATCAACAGGACCACGTGCGGGAGGTTGGGTTAGGGTCTCACCAGGCGTGACGGGGGACATTAAGACAGTCTCGCTGGGAAGGGATTTGGGAGGGACTGGAGGATCAACCTCAACGCGAGGTTTTCGCGCGGCCGAATTCTCCGGGGCGTTAGCCTGCGGGCCCATCCAGTGTCTCCGCACGCCGCCTAAGAACAGACTGGCAGTAGTGTTGGACTCCTCAATATGATCTGCACTAGCGAGCGATCGCGATTTAGGTGATACCATGATGATCGAGTAAGTGTCTGAGGCATCAGGATGATTTGGAGGTTCCTTTCAATAATAAAGGGCGCTTACACCGATGTTTGATTCAAAGAATCCCAGACACCTAAGCGCCTAGAGACCATAATAGGAATGGATCCATGCAGTTGAGAGTGAAAGCGCAGTAAGCAGGGGGAGATGTTGCGATAGTGACGGTCATTCGATATGTTTGCTATAGCTATCCTATACTCGATTCCTCTGGATCTGAATCTCAAGTGAATCTAATCCAATCTAATCCATTCTAATCCTCTAATATAGATCGGGTGGACTTGGGCAAGAATGACCGGGTTCATCTGCATACAAGGCACATGTACTTCTGAAGTACTGTACGAAAACGGACCTAATTGCCCAGGTATGTTGCTAATTACTATTCAAGCTAAGCGCTAGGTAGTTGGTACTTATAGTGATTGTAATCGCAGTCCCTATATTATATGTAATCGCAGTTGTGCCACCTCTCAGCTCCTCTCCCTCAACCACGGGAAAGTCTCCCAAGTCCAGACTTTCTTACAATCGCACACGTCACTCTCGCCTTTCTCTTCGAATTTGCGTCTTAGGTTTGATATTGATTCAAATCCGAGTTCTGTCAATAATTTACCAATATTCTTGGTCGCGTTGAAAAAAGAAAAAAAAAAAGAAATCCAATCTATCTCTACAAGGTCGAGATCCTTCGTTCGTGCTCCCGAGCCCCGCGAGTTGTTTAACCTAATCCTTCTAATCTCCCGAATCTCTAGCCTTTGGACTTCTCACATTCTCTCCCCTTTCTCTTACCCTTCCGCCAAATCACATTACTCCCGAGTCTCCCCCAGTGGGATACGCAATTGCAATCTGCAATTTGCAAATCTATCCCCAAGGGTGCCATGTTTTGTGTTGGCTCTTGACTAGGATACACGGAATATTAAGATGGTTACCATGGGCCCACCGAAGGGTGTTCGTCCAGGCGACATTCTGGAGGTTCTTCGTAAGTGACGTCGTGTGCGACACCTCGATTTCTGTGACTCCGCGTTTTTCAGGATGCGCCCGGCTTCTAACACTCCAAACTAGATGAATTTGGCGGGCGCGGAGAAGACGAACTGGTCATGTTACCCCGCGACAAGATTAAACTGATCGAGTTGGATGAGGAATTTGGAGATGCCTGGTACTACGGACAGAACCTGAGGACGGGACAAACTGGTCTCTTCCCTGCAAGTATGCGCCCCTTCCCCAGGACCCCCCCCCCTCTCACCACCCCCGACTATGATCCCAACTAATATTTGTTGCGCGACAGACTTTACCAAAGTGGGCTCCCCAAGAAAGACCCTCGCCGAGTCGCCAGTTCTGGTAGAATCGCCGATCCAATTGGAATCCCTCGCGCGCCCAGATTCATCATTCGCATCGGCTGAGAGTGGACAGAGCACCCCTCAAGCATCGCGCCACGTTAGCTCCGACGATATGCAGTCACCGCAAATCAGTTCTCCCACACAGCATCGATCCGCCTCGTCTCCGCTGCCTCGCCCCAGCCTGGCGGCCGATATTCAGCAAGCCTTTCGTGGATCGATAGACAATCATTTGAACGGCGAAGAAAGTCCGGTCATGAACGAGACCTTGAGCGTCATTGACGAGCACATCACGGATATGAACACCCCACGTCACAGCGTGTCGACCCAGGAACCCAGGACGATCAACGATTCCGGCAGCGAGTACAGCAGCCATATCGGCCACAGGGCTTCTTACATCAATGGAAATGAGACCGACGACGAGGAGCAGAGTCTTCCAACCGAGCAAGAGGTGCGGAAATGGAGTCCAACACAGACCTCAAGATGCTTGCGCAGCCTTGGCATTGATCAAAAACACTGTGACATCTTTGAAGAACAAGAGATCACCGGTGACGTGCTTCTTGATATGGATCAAGATTTTATTTTCATGAAGGAGTTCGATTTTGGAGTCATGGGCAGGCGGCTCAAGACCTGGCACAAGGTCAAGGCCTTCCAAGAAGAGACCAAGGGCTTCAGTCAGCAGCAAGCCCCAAGAGGCTCTATCTCCTCCAACTTCTCACCTTCCGATGAACGTGCATTGTCTCGCGCTGGACACACCGGACCACTTCTTCCTCGGATTCCTACCTTGTCAGAAAAGACCGGCGCTGGTTATCCACGAGGCTCTGTGCCGGTGCAGCACCCCCGACTGGCCAGCAACAGCAGCTCCCCCATGACACCGCATACCCCTCCGTACAGCCATGAATCAACGAGAAGGATTTCTGCGGCATCGCTCCGTGATCTCAACCAAGCGCGTCGTCATTCTTCCATTGACGCCACCCAACGAGGCATGCCTGATTCGGGTTTTGTTGGTCACCAGCAAAAGAAACCCTCATTCGACCGGTCCTGGACTCTGAATTCCGGCCCCCAAGCCATGCCCGCTCGCCCAGGAACCTCCGCGGGCACTAGTCCGGGTGGCTTCCGGAATGGACCGCTGACCGCTGAGTCAGATTCTTACAACTCCTATGTCACCACCCCGGATCAGATTGAGGACCTAGATCGGGGTTATTTCTCGGGAACCGAGGTTGATTCGCGCCGGGCCCGCCGCGTTCTACAGAAACGGGGGTCGGCCGGTGTCGATGTAAACAATCAGTCACGAAAGTCAAGCTACGCAGATGATTCATACCAAGTGATATCCCCAGCGAAGCGCCACTCTCGCATTGGCAGTGTGGACTCGATACGTGACGCAGCGAATCGTGTCTCCCCCGCGGCCAAGGCCTATCACGGCACGCCACCGAAGAGTCGGCTGCGAAGCTTGAGCACGCGCGTCTTAACGGATAAAAGTGGAACCAGCTCTCAGTCGTCAACCACCGATAGCAAAACTAGTAACGGTGGTGGATTCTTCGCCAATTTCTCTCGTGTCGGTGGCAAAGGTGATTCGGAAATTCCTCGCGCTTCGCCGTTGCAATTCCAGCCACTGAAAAATGCCGGGCCCAAGTTTCGCCGAGCCATGGGCCTTCGAGCCATATCCGACGTTGCTGGAAAGAAGCTTGACACATCTGCGCTGCCTGATTCGCCGCTGGAGTCCGATCCTACCTCTGCTCGCACTGGATCCACAACTCCATCGGCGACGTCCAAGAGCTCGGAACGGCATAGTACAGATGGGTCTGGTAAGGCCACCACTGACGGACAGGGATTCGTAGCCCGTCCTCGAACGGCCAAGTCTAAGAAAGAGACTAGTGCCTATACTCGGGGTCTTGAGAAGAAGACACCGCAGGAGCAAATGGATGGTTGTGACTACAGTGGATGGATGAAGAAGAGATCTTCCAACTTGATGACCACCTGGAAGCCCCGTCTGTTCGTCCTGCGCGGTCGTCGTCTGTCCTATTACTATTCCGAGGACGACACCGAGGAAAGAGGCTTGATCGATATCACCGCTCACCGTGTCCTACGAGCAGATCAAGATCCGATCATTGCTCTACACGCAACCATCACCGGCTCAACCGCATTACCTGCCAATGCCAACAACACCGTGGATAGCCCTAGCGGGACGAAACTCACCACTCCCTCGGTCATCCAATCGCTGACCACTAAGGACGGCAGTGGGCCGTTCTTCTTCAAGCTGGTGCCCCCAAAGTCAGGCAACTCGCGCACTGTGCAATTCACAAAACCAGCCACCCACTTTTTCCAGGTTGACAATGTCCAGCAGGGTCGTCTGTGGATGGGAGCGTTGATGAAAGCGACCATCGAGCGTGACCTAGGACAGGCAGTGGAAACCACCAACAAGCAAAAGACTATTAGTCTAAAACAGGCCCGGCTGCTGCAGCAGCGGCCGGCAGATCTTGTTCCTGCTTCGGGTAGCACCAAGACCGCGCAGACCATCGATGAGGAAGAGGAAGAAGCGGGTCTGCAAATTGAGGGTTTGAACCTCAGTCAGTCTGATGTTAACTCTCTCGAGGACACGAACGGCAGTATTGATATTAACAACACAGATGAAGGCCTCGAACGACCTATCTCCAACCCCCTTGGGGATTTGGATAATGGCCAGTCGTCCTTGCTTCCGGATCCTCTAGCCAAGACGGAATCTAAGTGAACATTTATTGCGGCCTCTATTATTTGAGTGTGACCTTGCTTGCAATTATGTGAAGGACATATTTTGCCCATTCTTGTTTTTTTTTTTTTTTTGCTGGCGTTTGATGTGATATACCCCTCGCTCAGACTTCTTCCCTTTGTTGACTCGGCCCAATTTCGTCATTACAGGTACTTTGGTCGCCGGGGGATTTATGTGGGAGTATGTGATTAACTTGCTTATCGACACAAAGTTGACTGGATCTGAGCGTTCTTTTCTATTAATCGCGATTGCAAATGTAGATAATACAATAATTCATACAACCATCCATCCCATGGATGGCTAATTGCTTCTAATCCTCATTTCCATAGTTCCCACCGCCCAGTATACCGCCAAGTCTTAGCACTGGCAGTATATAGCCACCATCCTACTAACATTGTATACAAACAGCTTAATTGGGATATCTTTGATACTAGATCATCAATCCTTGGATGGGACTGTTCAAAATGTCATGACTATAAGTTCTTCTTTTGTCTTGGGTACTTCGATCCTATAGCAGATGTCACCGTGTATATGTGCGCTGTCTTTATCGATTAGCGTCCGCACTTTTGTTTCTTCTCCTTTTCACCATTAAAGACAACTCTTTTCAATATGCTGTATAGGTCTTTATAACATTTATTCTTTTCCTGTCATTTTAGACTCCTCATGTTCCTCCGCTGGCTGCTCTCCCGCACCTTTGCGCTCCTTCTTCCACTCACAGTGATCGCCACTGTTTACCTCTATCTCTACCCAGTCTTCAACGGATGCGCCTTTCCTCTACCACAGTCTACCTCACGGTCGAGTGAGCAGCAGCTATACCATAATTCAGTGATCAACACACTTCTCCAACACCTTGGCGTTTCAACCTCAGACTCAAACAGTCAACCTGCCATCTTTAGACTCCTAGTCCTCGCAGACCCCCAATTGGAAGGCGACACCTCGCTTCCTCTCCCCGAATATGAATTATACCCCCGCATTCAGACTCACTGGCGCGCCATCCAGGAAGCAATCGGGAACGCCTCCACTTCACCTCTACTGGACGAGGACGTCCTCTCAAACATTACAACTGGTCTCCAGACCCTCGCAACCGAAGACATCCCACGCGCCTTCAAATCAGGCCTGAAACGCATCGACCTCTTTGGCAACGACTACTACCTCGCGCATATCTACCGCACACTCTTTTGGTGGACCCGGCCGACACACACAACGGTGCTGGGCGACTTAGTGGGGAGCCAATGGATCTCCGACGACGAATTCGCCCGGCGCAGACACCGGTACTGGGACCGCGTGTTCCGCGGCGGAGAGCGAGTTGACGACAACATCACCAGAACCGGTGCTGCGGGTTGGAGCCAGAGCGAAGGCAGCAATGCGCCGCCATTAGAACCCCTAGGCGCGGATCGGGCCTGGGCCAGGCGCGTGATCAACGTCGCGGGAAACCACGATATTGGATATGCGGGGGACATCAGCGAGGCGCGGATGGAGCGTTTTGAGCGTGCGTTTGGCCGTGCGAATTGGGATGTGCGGTTCGAACACCCGCCCGTCTTGTCCTCATCTGGGTCTGCTGGAGACCAAGTTGTTACCCCTACTCTACACTTGATTAACTTCAATTCCCTCATGTTTGATACCCCCGCGCTTTCTACGGAGGTTCAGAGCCATACGTATTCTTATCTGAATGAGCTTATCGCCGATCGAGTCTCGCCGGTCGAGGACCGATCGGCTTTTACTTTGCTTCTGACACATATACCCCTGCACAAGGAAGACGGCGTTTGCACGGACGGGCCGTATTTCTCATTTCGTGATTCTGACGACAAGGACGGTCCCGACGGTGTGCCCCGGTGGCTTAACGGTGGTCTCAAGGAGCAGAACCATCTCAGCGACACACTCAGCGCTAGCGGGATCCTGCAAGGCATATTTGGGCTGAGCGGCGATGAGAATGCGCTTGCTGGTGGCCAAGGCCGAAACGGGCTCATTCTTACGGGGCATGACCACACCGGCTGCGATACTGTCCATTTCGTCAACCGCACTGAAACAGTCGGTGACGACGGTTCGCCTCGATCTTGGGAGTGGGCTGCGAAGCGCTTCAATGAGAGCCAGCACATTGACGACCCTTCTATCCGGGAGGTGACCCTCCGCTCGATGATGGGAGAGTTCGGTGGTAATGCCGGTCTCCTTTCGGCGTGGTTTGATGAGGTCGCTGGCGAATGGAGCTATGATATCACTATGTGTCCAGCTGGCGTGCAGCATATCTGGTGGGCGGTTCATATCCTCGTGCTAGTGACGCTAGGCGTGGCTCTGCTTTTGTTCTTGTCTGGTAATGCTCAGCCGAAGACGACTACTTGTAACGTCCAGTCAGACCAGAAGACCCAAAACAGACAGAAGAAATAATTGGGTCGTAGAACTGTGTTTTCCTGTATTAATAGCATTGGATGACCGAGCGTCTTGCATTTGGATACATATATTGCAGACTAGTACTCCGTATATATTTTCAAAATACCCTCAATCAGATATAGAAGTGTATGAGTTGACCTTTGTTGGAGTCATGCCTTGTTGTACAGTTGCGTAGAGATAGATCCGTTTACAGAAGGCATATAAAGGACCTACGAAGGGTCTACGTAAAGCCATTGGTGGTCATATCAGAGTTCATATATCGGCCAAAGAACAAACAACCAGGACCAGGTCCCCCTCCCATACAGCTCGCCTAGAGCCTCTAGGCCAGCCCTCGAGGTAATGGGCAAGGCGTTGCGAAAGGATGTGATTATTTTAAAGTAATACTTCCGAGAGTCGCCAGCAAAGGGAGGGAGAAAAGACGAAGATGGGGGATGGAACCGGCTTTAAAATAAAAACAGTTGGATTTCGTCAAATGGACACCACCTGTCCAGCTCCCATTTTAATCCTATGGTCTCATATGCACCGCATTCCAGGTCCCAAGCAGATTTGAGGTTTGGTATCGTTCTTTTTCTTTAAAATTCGGGTTTTCTCTCTTTACATAACGACACCGGAGTTGGAGGCAATACGCTGGAAAAGAAGTGTTAGCTTTTTGAATGAGAGCGTTCGGGAATGGAAAAGGAATCCATTTCCCATGTGGAAGTGTATAACGTACGGGCCAGAGCTCAGCAGCTTCCTTTCCGACGGGACCGGTGATAGCGGAACCCTTCATCTCACCCTTGGCGTTGACGATAACTCCTGCGTTGTCCTCGAAGTACAGGAAGATACCGTCGGGGCGGCGCCAAGGCTTGCTCTGGCGGACAACCACAGCGGGCATGACCTTCTTGCGGAGCTCGGGCTTTCCCTTCTTGACGGTGGCCATGACCATGTCTCCGACACCGGCAGCGGGGAGACGGTTCAGGCGGGCACCGATACCCTTGACGGAGATGATGTACAGGTTGCGAGCACCGGAGTTGTCGCAGCAGTTCATCACGGCGCCACTGTTTGACGAAAATGGACCCGTTAGTAAATTGTTCTAGATCTTGAAGACGTCGTGTTTTCGAATGCTGAAAGTGGAGATCCAATTTTCTTTTCCTTTCTTCCCGCCGATCTTTTTCGTTTGTTGCATGGCGCGTGTTTTTTCTGATGACGTTTGATCGACTGAAAATGACATGTGGGATCTGGCGGGCAAGAAAGGCGCATTCGAAACAGACTAGACGATAAGAAATTGGTAGACGTACACAGGCAGACCGAGAGTCATCTTGAGCTTGTTGCCGGCGGCACCGCCACGACTGTTTGATCGTTAGTAATTTCCTCTTTGTCGATTCGTTCTTTTCCCAATCCGAGCCCCATTCGATCCTCTCGACACGAAGGTGTTGTGTTGCTTGTCGCTTGCAAAATTATTCTGTATCGGTTCGGAATCGAATGGGACCACGTAGGGAATCGCTGGAAGACTCACCCTCTCTTAGACATGATGGCTGATGATCACGGGGGAAGTTGGTGAAAAAGGTTGGCGACAAGAGGTCGAACGTCGAGGATCTAAACCGGAGGTGTGCTTTCTCGCTTAGTGGGCAAAGTGCGTAAAATCTTGGCATTGGAATGTGATTGGCTGTTCAGACCCATCAGCTTTGCCCTAATACTAACCCGATCTGGGATAGTGCCAAATGTTAATGCCTGAGGCATAAACTCTATACTTCTAGGGTTCAGATGTTGTGACGTTTTGAAAGATTGCATTTCACTGAATAGTACATTTGCAAAAAAAAAACAGGTGAAAGGAAAAGCAGATAGCACAGGGATGAAGATAAAATATGAGATGATTCATTGAAAGTCCATAAAAGCAACCCGCCATCCCCTGAAATATTTCAAGGTTAAACCTCGATGTGAGTCTGCTACGAGTAATGCCTTCCCAGTGCCAAGCAAGATTCGAGCACGCTGTTAAACCGATAACACCTTTCTGCCATTGTCCGTTGCGCCAGATCCGATATTGTCGTCTTTGCATCACAGCTGATTACTCCTCTTTCTTGGGTTCTGTCTTGTGTTCCAAGCTCTCTTCCTTGGTGGCCGTTGCCTCGGTGTCCGCAGTAGGAGCAGAGGCTTCTGCAGTCCTCTCAAGGGTAGAGTCGGTAGCCTCTTTCGTAGGGGATTGGGCCCGCACAGGGGAGGCAGTGGAGCCCTCGGTCACTGATTTCTCCTCAATAACTGACGCTTGAGCCGGAGCTTGTTCTGATGTAGTAGCTTCAGGGACAGCAGAAGCGTCCTCCATGGTAGTATCTTCATCATGAGGGGGAGGAGACTGGTGTTGAGAGGTAGTAGAGGCTTCATGCTCCTCACTTTCCATAGCCATGTTATCAGCATCAGTCATGGGCGTTTCATCAGCGTGCGAAGCTTCTAAGGCGGCAGAAGGCGCCTCGGGTTCAGTGCGTGGGGCATTGGCCATCTTAGTATCAAGGCCGAAATCCATTTCTACATCAACCGTAGATGAGCCATCTTGCGGGGTTGCCATGCCACTATCCAGCCCGGAGTCCGGCTCGAGATTTCGGTAGTTGACTTGGTTGCGACGCCGCATGACGCCTGGTTGGCGACGGATACCGTTGGCGGCGTTCTCGTCTTCGTCCTCGCTGTCACTGAGCTCGCCAGTCTTTTCTGTGCGCTGGTCGAATCGTCGTTGTGTGAACCGCTTGTCTTTGTTTTCATCCTCATCGAGGTCATCCATAACGTCATCAGCCTCGTCGTCTATGCCACCCACGATAGGGTTACGCGGTACATCTGTCATTTGAACCGAAGGAGCAAATGCCGTGCGCTTCAGGTTTTCAACAACCTGGTTGCAAATCTTGTCCAGGTATTCTCTGGTGTTGGCGTTGTCCATGTTGGAGGGGCGGACATCGAGCTGATAATCAGGAGCGAAGTACTAATGCAATTAGTAAGTGTTATTTGATCTGGAAGATATAAGAAACTTACCTCATAGTAGTCATTGTATGGCAGCTCAGATCCCAGGGGCTGTCCGACAAGGATACCGGTCTCATAAGCCCATGTTCGTGCAACGTTGCGCATGGTGTAGCCACCACCGCCAACAACCAAGGTTGGCAGATCGAAACTCTTGACGAAGTTGACACAGTTGGCATGTCCTCGCATACTCAGATTGAAGCAGCCCAAGCGATCGCCGGATAGACTGTCACCACCGCACTGAAGGACCACGGCCTCGGGACGGTACCACTCCATCACGCTCTTAATGACAGGCTCAAAGATGCTCTTATATGTGACATCAGTGATGCCATCCCGGAGAGGAAAGTTGACTGCGTAGTTTTTGCCCTGCCCGACACCGATGTCGCGAAGCTCACCAGTACCAGGGAAGTACTCGCCGTACTTGTGGAAAGAACAGGTCATGACGCGATCAGTCGTGTAGAAGGCCTCTTCGACACCATCACCGTGGTGGACATCAATATCGACATAAAGGACTCGCTGTTTGAAGCGCAGAAGCTCCAGAATTCCAAGAACGATATCTACATAGATGTTAGCTTCTGAGACAGATGCTTGGAGACCAAAGGACTATACCATTGACATAGCAGAAGCCACTCGCTTCGCTCTTCTTGGCGTGGTGAAGACCACCAGCCCAGTTGACGGCAACATCGCATTTGTTGCGGTTCAGTCGCGCAGCACCTTCCATGCTGCCTCCGGCGCTAATTCCACAGAACTCAAAGAGACCGTCAAACACGGGGCAATCGTCTCCTACATTGTACCGGCTCTGTTCCTTCACGAAGTGGTCCATATTGTCCGGTGTGACCTTGGACAGGAAGTCGATATATTCGTCGGTGTGGAACTGGGTCATCTCGTACTTGGAGGCAGGTTTCGCACGCTGATTTATTAGTGCAAGGGTCAAACAAATAAAAATAGGAGAGTGCTCACGTAGATCTCCATTTTCTTATAGAGGCCATAGTTCATCACCAAGCTGTGTGTCATGCGTATGCGATGGGGCTTCATGGGGTGGCCGGATACATAGGCATAGTTGCCCACATCGGAGTCGTAGAAGTAAGCGACTTTCTTATTTTTAGACCCGAGAAGCCTATCAGAGATAGGTTCCAAAGCCATGTTGCAGAGAGCGCTGATGATTCACGAGGTTGAGAGTGGAAAAGAGAGTGGAAAAAGAAGTGAAGTTCAAGAAGTGTAAGTGAGATCCGGGGAATGAAGTAGCGAAGTTGCAGGCGCAATGCAGATATGCACCCAAGAGGTTGAATAGGCAACGATGGCACCTATTGTCACCAGATCCCGCAATGCGAAGATTAGGTAGCAGTACTTAATCACAATAGCAAGCCAATGTCATTGTTCACGTTATTGAAGAATAGATTGAGGAGAGAGATTCGCCCGCGAAGGAGCGGAAGCCGACCGAACCACACACCGCCTTCGTCAGGCAAAGCTCCCACGGCTTTGCTCATCATCACTTAACACGTCTTCGACAACCTTGTTATCTTCTCGCTAAAATCACATCTGTCGGGGATTTTCGCTAATTTGTATCTCTCTTTGAACGCTGTTCCGGAAATACCAAGCTACTAGAGACAAATCGATTTGCTCCGGAGCTTCCAAATAGCGATAGCTTCGTCCTCTCTACTCTCGTTTCATCAAGTCTTGTCGGATATCTCTTAAATATGGATCGTCTTAACCGGATGCTCCAGGCCGCTCAAGGCATGGGGATGGGGGGCGCTGCTCCTGGTGGTGTAAGTTGGATAAGACTAATCTCCTTGTTGGAAGGCATTAATGGCAACATCCTAGCCTAGCTTCACCACGTCCCTCTACATTGACTAATGAGAGCCGTTGTTTAGGATACTCCAAACCTGATAGATAACTCAGAAACCGTCCACATCTCCTCCTTGGCTCTGCTGAAGATGCTACGACATGGCCGCGCGGGTGTCCCGATGGAGGTCATGGGCCTGATGCTGGGCGAGTTCGTTGATGAATACACAGTTCGGGTAGTGGACGTCTTTGCTATGCCTCAGAGCGGTACTGGAGTCAGTGTTGAAGCAGTGGACCCCGTGTTCCAAACTAGAATGATGGAAATGCTGCGACAGACGGGACGGTAAGCCTATTAGCTGGTATATGATAGGGGAGTCCTCCATGCTGATGATTTCGTACAGACCAGAAACTGTTGTTGGCTGGTACCACTCGCATCCCGGTTTCGGCTGCTGGCTCTCCTCAGTCGATATCAACACTCAGCAATCCTTTGAGCAGCTCACACCGCGTGCGGTTGCCGTTGTCGTCGATCCTATCCAGTCAGTGAAGGGCAAGGTCGTCATTGACGCCTTCCGTCTCATCCAACCTCAGACAGTGGTGATGGGTCAAGAGCCCCGCCAGACTACATCAAACTTGGGCCACCTCAACAAGCCTTCGATCCAGGCTCTGATCCACGGTCTCAACCGCCACTATTACAGCATTGCAATTGATTACCGTAAGACAGGATTGGAAGAGAACATGTTGATGAACCTTCACAAGCATGTATGGACCGAGGCCTTGGAGATGAGTGACTTCCACGAGGAGGGTCAGCACAACGTGGAGCGCATGAAGCAGCTTGTTCTCCTTGCGGAGGGCTACGAGAAGCGGATCAAAGAAGAGACGGAGCTGAGCAAGGATCAGCTGAAGACGAGATACGTTGGCAAGCTTGATCCCAAGAAGCGTATGTTTTTTCCAAGACCCCCCCAAAAAACATAGACTGACGCTTTGCAGACATCGAGGACGTAAGCCAAAAGTTGATTGAGGATAACATTGTTGCCGTCTCGCGGCAGATGATTGACAAGGAAGCTTCGGTGGCACGGCAGTCATTCAAGGAAGACACGAACGGTGCTGCCATGGAAGTTGATGAAGATCTCTAAAGAGTTAGAAAAGGGTGCCAATCAAACCGCATTAATTATTTCTGATTGGTTGGGCTTTATGTTACCAAACCAGACCAACAAATGAATGAAATCTACTCGAATTTTCACATAATAATAAGAAATTCATTGTCAACAAGAATGGCGCTTGGCCTATTGTTGGAAGTAAGAATACCTATAATTCTGTTTCATGGGATCTATGCGGCGCGCAATATATATATATATATATAAATCGTAACAGTATGAATAATATCCACCGAACAATGGACTATCATGACTCCAACTTGACTGTCTGAAGCGAGTTGCTCAAGGCTTCGAGAACACTAGGGGAGTAGGCCCGTAGGCCATCAAAGGCAACATCAACGTCATTGTGCTCATGTTTCTCGTGAGTGTCGTATTGAGTGTCGTATTCAGTGTCGTATTGAGTGTCGGTCCAGCCTCTATCAGGACCCCAAAGGACCTTTTTCTGAGCATCTCGAGTTTCCGTAAGCAAGCGAGTCATCAAAGGTCCATTCTTTTCTACAGAGGGCCAGGCATCGAACTCAACCTGAACTAGACCCGGCAGCCGTTCCAAAATTTGATGTAACAATTTGCCACAGAAGTTGGTATAGTAATCCTTGGAGATACGAAAGCCCTCGAACACAGGGTGTGAAGGGTCACACTGCACAAACACTTTCAACGTGCGCACAAGCTCCATGTCGTGTAAGCCCAAGCCTTGGTTTACAACCCATGACTTCGGGGGTGCAGTCCAGCTTGATCCCACAATAAATTCGATTGTGGTGATCGAAGAGCGGTGGCGTGGAGGCAAAGCCCGGATCGTGGGCATGCGCAAGAAATCCTGGATGGGAAACACACGGAAGGTCTGGGTTGAATAGAAGTAGTGAGTGGCTTCGTCGTGGATTTGTCTCGAGACAAGGAACAGGGCGATGCGGTGTGAGAACGGCGCTAGAGGTTTGCTCTTCTTCGCCGAAGACCCAACATTGCCACCAGTGCGTTTCGATGCACTCTTTCGAGTCGGCGTGAATAGGACAAGATTATAAATGCGCAGGCGAATCTCAGACGGTAGATGGAGGAAGGGAAATTGCAGTAAGATCGGAGGTTCAGCGTCTGTTTCGGATTCGGCGTCGGAAAGTTGCTCCTCAAAACGGAGCATGTTCTTTTTGAACCCCATGATTGAAAGGTATGTAGATGAAATTTATGGGATACAGGCGAGTCTAGATTTGGACAGGAAGATCATATTTCTGGTAAACAGGTAGAAAGAGAAGAAGAAAACTAAAAAGATTTGTGTCCCACGATCGGAGCGCAGCTTCACGGGTAAATCCTTTGCTGCGCTCTTGGTAGTGGGAATGAAGAAGGTCTTCGTTGGTCTCCCCAGCTAATACAACCCGGCATGCAGAGAGAAGTTGCTTGATAGGTCAAATTAATGTCTGGGTGAACTTTCTGAAGAAGAAAAGAAAAAAAGAAGAAGACTCGGTGGCCGAGGATGTCGATATATAAACAACCTGCACGGATGGTTCGGGTCCACCGCCGTACCGAATCGCGCCGACTTTTAACGGGAGACCGTGGTTTATCCCATCATTCAGAACATATTTGTTTCAACCCAATACACAATGCTTAGTCGTGCAGTCTTGCCTCTAACGAGGCCAAATGCCTTCGCATCTGCCGTTCGGGCATCAACCCTGTCGGCGCGGCCTTCGTTGTACGCTGCCTACAAGCTTTCCCCGGGTATCCAGCTAAGGGCGAAGTCGACCAAACCGAAGTCGAAAACTTCCAAAGCAGCTCCGAAAGATGCTCCGAAAGACTTCGACGCAGAGCAACCCGAGTTTGATACAAAAGCTGAACCTACACAACCTTCTGAACCTGTGAGGCTTCTTTCAACTTTCCATTGAAAGGAATCCCTCTGACGTTGTCTTTCTAGGTCGAACAACCCCCACAGACGCCTCTTCCCGATCTGACGCAAGGTATTCCATCGACGCTAGCCGCAGAATTGGAAGGGCGTATGAAGAAGGGACCATTGAATCTCACAGAAGACCCTACCCAGTCAGAAGATTATGGCGCGGAAGGCAGAGGTGGTGGTGACATCCCCAAAGGCGGATATGAGACATCCATCGACCGCCGCAAGGCCCGTATGGCCAATATAGTATACGCAGTCATGTTGCTTGGTGGTGTCGCTGGTATGGGCTATTTGGGTCGCAACTGGGAAACCGAAGAGGAGCAGCGGCAACACCCTGAGATTCCGTCGGGATGGAGCCCGGGTCTTTGGTACAGCCGTATCAAAGCCCGCACCAGCGATCTCACCAGCTATTACAAGGACCCTGCTTTCCCCAAGCTGCTTCCGGATGAGGACGCCGAGATGCGTCAGCCATACACCTTGGTGCTCAGTCTTGAGGATCTCCTTGTTCACAGCGAATGGACCCGTGAGCACGGATGGCGCGTTGCGAAGCGGCCTGGTGTCGACTACTTCCTCCGCTACCTGAACCAATACTATGAGCTCGTCCTGTTCACTAGTGTGCCTAGTATGATGGCCGACCAAGTCCTACGCAAACTCGACCCTTACCGCATCATCCGCTGGCCCCTGTTCCGGGAGGCGACCCGATACAAGGATGGAGAGTACATCAAGGTATGTATTCTTCTTTCCCCCCCAGTCATATAATGCTAATTGTCTGATAGGATTTGCAATACCTCAACCGCGACCTTTCCAAAGTTATTCTCATCGACACTAAGGAGGAGCACGCCCGCTACCAGCCCGAGAACGCCATTATTCTTGACAAGTGGACTGGAGACCCGAAAGATAAGACGCTGGTCGCCCTCATCCCCTTCCTGGAATACCTTGCTGGTATGGGTGTCGAAGACGTGCGTACCGTGCTGCAGTCGTTTGATGGCACTCCCATCCCCATTGAGTTTGCCAAGCGTGAGAAGGCGATGCGTGAGCGCTTTGAGAAGGACCTCGCCGAGGAGCAGAAGAAGAGGCCCTCGCGTGGTCTGGGCAACTTTGCTGCTGCACTTGGCTTGAAGTCTTCTGTCACCCTGAACGGCGAACAGACACCCTCCGAGGGTCTGGCGCAGGGTAAGATGCTCTGGGATCAGATCCGCGAGCGTGGTCAAAAGAACTACGAAATGATCGAGTCAGAGATCCGTCAGAACGGCGAGAAGTGGCTCGCTGAGATGGCAGCCGAGGAGGAGAAGGCCCGCCAGGAGCAGATGCAGAGCATGAAGGGCTCTTTCACCGGCATATTTGGTGCTGGCTCCAAGAATGAGTAATCGGCGCAAGCCAATTACTTTTCTCCTCTAGCAGATCATCAGGGGTCTGTTTAATGAACTAGTGTAAAATAGGTAGGGTTTGGGGTTTTGGATTTTTGTACAAAATTTTAGTCAGAAATTTTAATATGAGAAAGACTGAGATTTGGACTGATATCGAGGTCGTTGGGCTTTGGATCCCAGGGTATATTGTTGAAATAGGAATCTAGAAATATATGTTCAATGAGCTTTTTTGATCATGTCAGGTTCACATCTTGGAAGACGGAGACATCCCATATTCCTGTCATATCAAAGGGAAAACCGTCCATCGTTCCAAAAGTATTCGATATCGACATCATGTCGTCAACGATATCGTTATTTGTTTGGGTTTCTGGCAGCGATATTGCGGCCGGGTTGACCAGCCCGCTGTCTGCCATCGCGGTTGTGAATGCCTGGTCCATTGTGGCACCAGTTCCGGGAAGTCGGTGCATAATGCGTTCGCAGTGGTCTAGGCACATGTCTGCTACATCCCAGTCTTCTTCTTCCCGCACACGACGCAATACTGAGCGCAGGGTTTCGACGTTGGAAAGACAGGATCGTGCAACATCGCTATCGGTGGTCTCGAATGCACAACGAACTAGCAATGTCGCCGTTGACGTGAGATGAAAAGCGCTATCTGTCAAGAAGATTAGGAACAAAAAGCGATGTATAGAAAGAATACTTCAACTTACAGGGTAGCCAGAACTCAGTGAAATTATCTTTTCGCAAAGACGTTATGAATCCAACAATCTCCTCTGCAGACCTTCTGCATTCCGTTTGGAAATAGCGACGTGCCTCGGTGTTTTCCGTTTCAGAGTTGTTGACTTCCTGCGAGGTTGTTAGAAACCATCCTTTCGATTTTCCCGCTCCTCCGGCTTACATTTAGTTCAACTCGGCTGACAAGCATTTTGACGGCCAAGAAAGCCAGTTGCAAGCTGCTTGCTCCATATATCCGTTCCCCGGTATGGATTGTGGGTCCTCTCAACCAGTCCGGTAGTGAGTCTTCCCATATATCTAAATCTGTTCGTATTTGTCTAAGCTTCTTGGATGTCTCGCGTGCAGGTTTGTGTTGCAACCCATAAACCAGTGGCAACAGCTCGCCTAAAGTCTCGGTCAACCGGCATAGGTAGATGTGACAGTGTGCTGCTCTCACACGCTCTGTAGTGCGGAGGTTTGATGGGACTAATACCTCTACGGTGGGTAGAGGCACGTCATATTGATTTTTGGAAATCTGGGGTGGGACACCATGACCAAAGCTTCCCCTATTTATTGTCAGGTTTGTTGCAAGCCAAAAGAAAAACCGAACGAGCTTACCAACGATCGTGAATCACAACCCCCCACCACAGGCGAATCCGCTGGTTTTTTTCTGCTTGTGAGAGCTTCCAATTGCTAGGATCACGGTTCAAGCCAAGGCAATTTGCCAAAGATAACATGCGGCCACAGCTGACGGCGTTGCCAGTCATGGAGAAAATGGGTCTTCCTGTTAGGTCGATCAGCGCGGCGCTGATTGTGTCCAATCCGGGTGCTGAGAATTCCTCATGCAACGCGGCGACAGTCATGTTGATCGCATATCGTACGTCGGGCTTCGGATGACACGCAAGCTTTTGGGTGTGTTTCCAATATACGAGGGACATGGAATAGACTTGACACACTAGTGCAGCTGGTGGGTCGTGCAGGTCATCGGCGATGAATGATTCCCAGAACGATTCCCCGTCAAAGATTGGAAAAGAAACGTTAAAACGATCAATGAAGCTAGAGGGGGAAATATTAGCAGGGTAGAAAATGGAAGGAAAGGCCAATGGTCAACATACAGTCTCACTAGGTCGTGTTTGAAGGGCCCGAGTATTTGTTCGAGTACCTCCTTCTGGTTCTCACCAGGAGGCGTTCCTTTCCGCATACCTTTCCTTCGCCGGGAGATGGTGGTGTAAAGGACTGGTTTCCGTGGGTCGCTAGAGTAGATATTGTACGGGTGGCTGTTGGGCTCTTCCGATTGACTCGACCGCTCTGGGGGCATATGCTTTTCAATGACTTGGGCATCCTCGGCAACCATAGGGCCAACAATGAGAACTGACTCATTCTGAGGATCATCCATATCTTTCCGCCGCAGATCACTTTCTCGACGACCACCCGACGAAGTCGTTCCATGGGGGCTCGGCCCATTTATCGGCTGCCGGGGCGGGTTATTTTGGCCCATGTGGGTGAGTTCATCTGAACTACGTTTACGCTTATGTCCCGGCATGGCCTCCAACGATGGAGGCCCCGGCCAGGATTTCCGGTCCGCGCCACTCAAAACCGAAGCATCCGCGTTGGCTTCCTCTTGATAGTGACAGTCGGCACCTTGAACGCGACATAGAAGACAGGATTGACCGGGGATATCGACGGTACATCGAGACTTGCGCTTGCGACACAAGTCACAGGCGCGGACCTTATGGGAACGGTACGGTCGGGCGCCGGCATTGAATCCGGGAGATGGAAGTTTGGACGAGGAATTGACTTGAACTGGTGCAGGCGACATGATGTGCACCCAAGTATGAGGCAGTTATGCCGAGGGATAATACGGGGAAAGCGAAGATGGTGATTTGGAGATTTTGGTCGGGGTGTTCTGGGAGTCGGCCGATTGGCGGTTGGACAAAGTGAGGGGTATGAGCACGAGGCCTGCAAGGTAGGGAGAAGACCAGATCGGAATTGGGAGCTCCAAATTGGCTGGAAACCGTACACGAGATGTCGAGGCTACATGCACATCATATTGTGCAAAGGAGGTCCCCCCAGATATCAGAATCCGGCGATCTCATTTTCTTATCAAAAATTGAACTGCGGGCATCCATGGATCCATGTGGGGAATGCTGACTCATGCCACGTGAAATCGCTGACATAATGACTTTCTGCCTCAGGCGCGTTCTATTTTTATCTTTGGACTTGGCGTGCGTAGACAATAATGCAGGCGATCGACATGAGTTGTTTCATTGACATTGGTGTCCCGCATTGCCTTATGGGGCAAGAAACTGCACAGCCACAAGGTCATCTTTTTCTCAACAATGTCCGCGGCGAGCTTGATCTGTTGTATGTAGGTCGAGAGCGGTCATCATGGTGGATACCTCCCCTTTCGAGGACTCTTTCGTCCATCAAGCGGGCTCTTCTGTATCGCCCGGCCTAAAGACATACTTTGACCGGCTACCACTTAACGTGATTGAGCAGTAAGTTTCTATCTCACCAGGTAGTCGCAACCTTGTGTTCGTCCGACATGTGGCCTTACGGTCAGTCATTGACTGCAATTCTGACTAAGTCAATAGTATCCTGTATGCGTCCGATGCCAATACATTTGCATCACTATCTCTGCTAAACCGAAGATGGAAACATGCGTCCGATTCCGCGGCATTGTATGCCTATCAATTGTCTCGCTGTTCATCATTTTCCTGGGCTCGCGGGGTCATTTCTGAGGCAGAAAATCTGACTAAACTCAAGCGCCAATTTGTTAAGCAGGTCAGGCAAAACGCGTTTGATGCATTTTTACGGCCTCGGCAAACTCTCCTGCGATTAATTTCAAGTTCTATGAGCTCGTCGATGGCCTTCCCACAGGGTGAAGTTTTTCGATTCTCATTTTCAGGAAATGGTCAAATGGTGCTCTGCATCAGCTCTTCTCGCATTGTCATACTAGACGTGGCCACCGACCCAGTCGCCGTCAAACATGAACTTATAACTCGAAGGCGGCCCCTAAGAGCCGCAATCCGTGATGACGGCTCTCTCATTGCCGTTTTGTCCTCCACGCATCGAGTTCATATCTACAAGCTCTCTGACGATGAAGCCAAGCACATTCGAGTTATCACTCTGGATGATGCTCCAAGATATATTAAATTCTCTCCATCAGGTAGTGTGCTAGCCTTAGCCTTTGAGGATAGTATTGAGGTATACGCTGTGGCTGAAGAGGCTTTGTCGACCGACCGTCGGGCGGTGCGTTGTCACCGTGTCGATGCACTTTCATTTTCGCCTGACGGATCGATGCTTCTTGGCTTTACGGCTGAAGGTATCGTCACCATCACTCCTCCGTTTTATACCGAGACTGGAACGGATGCCTCACCCGAAGAACTCGAGATGCGAATGTGGACAACACAAATTCTCTTCCCTGAGACAATTAGTTGCCCTATCACTCACGTCTCCCTGATTGCTGGTTATGAGGAAGCCGATGATCACTGGGTGATGGGATATGACAAACATTTGGGGGCGTTCAGAGCAATCCAATTAAACAAGAATGCCGGAATCGTTTATTTCGCCAGTCCATTCCTCGCAGATGAATCTCGGGAAATGCAACCAAGCATGAGACCCGCCACAGATGAAACTGGAGAGCTTTCAGCTTTAGGGTTCCAAGATTCAGAACTGTGGATATATGGGATGCCTGGCTTGGGTGCTAGTGGAATCACTGATACCCAGGTTGGTGGTGATCATCATTATGGAGGTTGCGCGCCTCGCGACAATCTAGCACAGCTTCAGAAGATCGTTCAACAACCTAAGATCTTGATACGGGGGCGGCGGGTGAGTGACATGCACGGGATCACATCCGCTCATTGGGTACGTTCGGATTCAAAATGCCGTCGGAGACTAGTCGCGGTAGCACCTGGTGGTGTACGACCACAGAACCTTGGCCGAGAAGATATTCCAGTTGATGGTGGTCGAATCCTCCTCCTTGATTTTGAGCGCTCCACCATGAATGGTGAAACGACTGAGCTTGACATCGAAGTTGGAGAAACGGCACCCAAGATTCTTATGGAGCCGGACTCCTCTTTGGCCACGGAAGTTGAGCTTGAAAGAAGGCGAACACGACTACATCGTGGCGATACTGCTACAAGATTCGCGGATCTTGGCCATTCAGCGACTACTCGAGAATCCCGAGCTCTGCCACTTCATTTCCGCCGCAACAGTCTCGCAATTCCTACCTCGCCAAGCGAGACTTCTCCCGGCGATATAATCGACCTTCCATATGACAATACGCAGCCTCGTTCCAGTGAAGTTCTCCATCGAGCTGCCACTGTGGCTGCATCAACCCGTGGGCGATATGACCCTCGATATCGTAATTCCCACGCCCCTCGACAGATTCCCCATGAGAGTGACGCCGATAACTGGGTGCCACCCCCTCCCCCCTACACAGCGGATCCATTGCCAGATGGTCTACCGAGAACGCCTCTTTCCCCAGTCAATGTTGTCGATTCTGTCCCCCAGCCTGAAAGAGAAGAAACCGCTCGTGTCGCGCAGCATCCAACCCGCCCACGTCCACAATCTGTCAATCTACAGGGGCTCGGCGGTATGACTGGCGCCAGGCGCAGGGGAAGTTCCATCGGCAGAGACTTCAACCCAGATCAATTAATCCCCCAAGATTCTTTCACAAACAACTTCGCACCACAACAGCTTGGATCTGCCTTAAATCCACCTACAGTGATCCAACCTACCACGCCTACGTTTGCTGTGTATCCATCCGAACCACTCCTACAAGAGAGCAACATGCCTCTTCCCTACTTGAGGTCCTCGGCACTGGGCGATGCACTTGGCGATGCCTACTTTCCATACTCTGTGTCCTCGCCAAACCTTCTCCATATCCCACAGCCATATGAAGACGGGCAGGGCACTGCAGCAGATGACGAGCATGACGTACCTGAGAGGCAACGGTCTTTCCACAGGCGAGTCTCAACCGAACCCTCTAGCTTACCGCCACCAACGAACGAGGAATGGCGTCGGCGCATTCAGGATTGGAACGATAACACAATTAAGGAGCGGAGCCGTAAGCGAAGGGGGAAGTGCACTGTCATGTAGCCTGTTTTACCATATATCCAATTTTCCCGTCTAGAATAACTGTCAAATTATTAAAACAAATATTTGTTTCCAGCATGATAGTCATATCTTACCATCTCCCTCTCATCCGAGGTCAACCGCTGATTCGTTCGCTCCCAAATCCTGCTCCGAAGTCGACGTAGAGGGTGCTTTCCTCTTGTAGCCCGACCATGGAATGGCCATGCCAGGACCTCACCCAAATGTAAGTGAATCATCGCTATAGTCCATTGGTGGAATTTCTCGTATGCGTGTTGCAATCTTTCCCTCAGTTTCCTCGTGCCAAATCTGGGCTAATTGCCGCATCGGGGTGACTGGAGGGGTGTGAAAAATGACGCCTGTACTACGCTTTGAATGCCATGAGCTCTGCTCGGTCAACCAGGAGGGACGAATTGATAAACTCGGTTAAGTTCTCCTGGTTCGGCATGATTGCTCCAATCCTATCGTTTGCGTAGAGGGTCTAGAGCCACAGACGCCGGTTGGACCATCAAACAGCACTGGGTCCGAGCCTCTCTTGCATGACGAGGATGGTTCTTGCAGATCTCCAGTCTCTTGTTAATGCTGTGAGAACAACAAGCATTGATACTGTTAGTCAAGGTGATCGGAACCCGATCCCATTTTGTCGATGTTGTCAGTATAATCTTTAGCTGGCGGCCTGACTGTCTCCCCATCAGCAATCGTCTTTGCCATTTTGTTGGCATCTAATAGTAGCCTTCTCTGGCTGTAATGCTGAGTTCTTTTAAGACAATTTACATATTGAAGATAATTATGTCTATAGTATCAGTAGATCACTCCTCTATACACAAAGGGTCTTTGGAGAAAAGCCTGTGCTGAGTCGATCCTGCCAGCTTCAACTGCATGTTTCCTTTCCTTCTTGAGATCTACCACCATTAGACCACAGCTGCTTTTTAATAGGACTACAAGATCAAGAATAATCACAACGGAACAATATTATTGAATTGACCGAGGTGAAGAAAGACAATCAAAAATCAACAACAAAAAGGCTATGCTTTGTGGGGTATCACTGAAACAACAAAAAAAGATCCCAGTTTGGATCTGTACAAACAAAACACAAGGAACCCACACAACGCGCATGCTCATCCCAGTTTTAATATCCCCTTGTACCATGTCCCATGTTTCATATCCCATCATGATCCGGAGACCATACACCAAAGCCGGAGTTTAACCGGTAAGAAAGGAAACACTGGGAGCACTGATGAATCGATGGAAGGAGTCACGGACCCTGGAAAAGCTAACAGTCAGTAAATGGAAATACAAAGTGGAGACGACCATAAAATACCAGAATTTTCTTCTTTCTTCGAAATGATAGTTGTTTTTGTTGGTTCCTATTCAAGGGCCTCTTTTCTTGGATGCCCGAGGAGGATGAAGGTAGAAAGTGGTCCCGAAGGTTGTCGGAATGTCTGTCCAGGAGGCCTATTCCAAGGTCTGAATGGAAGGAAACGTATCGAGCAAAATTGATGATGGACGTGAAGAGGCTTGTCCAGAAACCTGTTTCAAGGCCCGCGGAGAGAAGAAACAAAGGTAATTGAATCTGAATTGAGTGAATGATCCTCTCTTGATTTTGTTGGATTGACGTAGAAGCATGCTGGAAATCAACGGTCCGATATATGGTCATGGCGTTCTTGATCCAGCCAAGGCTTGTCCCATAGCCCAGTGAGAAACCACTTAACCTGAGTTGACCGGCAGGTGGTGTGGTTATGATAAGCTGAGATCAAATTGTTTGGTTTTCTCCCAATTTCCGTCCAACTGAAGCCGTCCCGTAAGCTCAGTGGAAGTCTTTCTTTTCCAGGTAATCAAAGCCTGATCTTTTTGGGAAAACTGACTGTTTTCATGTCGGTTGAATGATGGATGCACATGAATGACCGTGGGGTCAAGTGGTTGGAGTATGGAATGGCAGGTTCGGTGATTGTTGTCCTGCAAAAGAATAAGGAATGAACTCAGCCAAGACCTCGTTACCAAGAGGCTGTGGCGAGGAATGTAGTACATGGAATAGTGTTCACAGATAGTCGATGTGAACCCAACAGGATTGGATTTGAAGGCATGCGAAAGACGATCAAGATGTGTTTTTAATCGAACATCTCTCCAGGAGGTCATGAACAGCCCGATCGTACGAGATTCCGTTTGATTGTTGATGCAGCCGAGGGCGAACGACACTGGAGAGAAGATGATGATAAACTCGAAGAGGGTAAGATGGTCGACTAAGGATGCAGTCGGCTCGCCGTGGATAAGGATTGACCGATGCGACTTCTGTTCTTCGATTTAATGGTCGCGCCCTTGGACTGAGCCTCAATTGGAGAATGAGGCACAGCGAAGGAATATTTTGCAAGGGTGGCCGTGGTCGAGAGCCGAAGAACAGAAATAGAATGGACAAATCCCAAAAGCGACGTGTCGCAAGAGAGATCTCTCACCTTAAGTGAAGGTGAGAAATGAAGTGAGAGTGAGGTGAGAGCAGATCTTTTTTTTGTTGATTGTCATCATTTTTTTCTCACTGTCTCTTTTTTTTGGTTTTTTTTGTTTTTGTTTTTTTTTTTCTTGCATATTGGTCAGTCAACTCAATCTCCAACCCAAATACCATACGAAAAGCTTCTGAGAACGCTCAACGCGGCCCCAACACAGCATTGTACCAGCAAACAAAAGCGCTGCGGGACAGCCAAGAAGGACCTAAACAACCCTCCGAAGAGAGGAGTTCCTTCGAGGTGTCCCACTCAGACACTTTTGCGGCTGGTACATGTCCCAGCTTCACCGAAGCGTCTAGGCAGGACGCTGTCGACGGCGACGGCCGCGGGACTGCTGGGGAAGGACATCATTGGGCGAAGTCGTACCACAGTCCGTAGGAGTATCAATGCCCACATTCGCGAACAAGGGAGTTGGAGAGAGAGGACCACTCTGCGGATCACCCTGCTCCTCCAGACGGCCAGGAACGAAGACCGGAGCCACAGCCGACAAAGGCGTCGAGCTCGAAGACATCGCAAGAGAAGCACTGGAAGCGTAAGAGGCTAAAACATTGGAATGTTTTAGTTCCTTCTTTTCCTGTTGTGCTTTCTTTGCATCGCGACGTCTCTTTGCTTGCGACGGACGGCATTTCCTCCTGTAGTGCCGCGGGGTGGAAACAGGACGCTCATCTTCCGCACCGTTACCAGTCGATTCCGCAGCCGGAGCCTCAGAATCGGACTGGTCGGAGGCGTAGATATCACTCGAGTTCCAAGGGTGCCGAGAAACCAAGTTCGTGCGAGCGTCATCCGTAGTGTTAACCGGTATTATGGAATCGCAGGCCGATTCCGGGTCCAGTGACGGCTCATCTCCCAGGCCTTTGGTGATCCGGTGGACCCAGATACCGGCAAACAGAGAGAGAACCGACACATGAGACACAGACTCGGGACAACTGTCTGCAGCCATGACCCAAGCAAGAATTTCCTCATCCGTTTCAGTCGGGCCCGCGAGCAGACGATCCATCTCCCTTTCAAAGGAAGATGAATCATCCTCGGCCACAAATTGCACACGTGCAATCTGCGGTTGGCCCTCGAGAGCCTTCAGAGTCCACTCAATCAAGGTTTCAAGACCGGAGAACAATTGCCGTGAGTAAGCAATCAAAGCCCAGGGGATCTGGACGAAGCACCATATAGCGATAAACAACAACGTGGCGACGAAACCTTGCCCGGGTTTGGACCTAGGCGAGTGGATGTCGACAAACTCCTTGGGATCAGAAGATGTCACTCCGTCGCTTGACCAAGAGGAAACCGGGATGGGTACCAGGAACGGGGTTGGAAACCAGGACGGCATATCATCGACCAGCTCAGGCCGGACGATGATATCCGTACCAAGGAAAAGAACCATGTCCGTCGAGTTTGAATACCCATGGCCAACGTGAGAGCGCGACTCCCATACAGGATGCTCGCGCCGGGAAGCATGTCCGCACTCGGAGGCAACAACGTGAACCACGTCACAGAAGGCCCAAGATTCCATCGTCAGCTGGAACGTACCAGACAGACGCCGCACGAACGACTGCCCTGGAACAGTGAACCCCGGGATGGGGAACCACTGACTCCAGAGAGTCATGCCCACGAAGATCCCCAAGAAGGGAATCAACATGTTGAAATTTTTTTTTTCTGCACAGGGAAGACAAAAAGATTAGCAGTTTTGTCAACAGAAGGAGTCTGAGATAGAAAGGAATTACTTTTTTAAAAATAAAATTGAAAAATAAAGGCCGGCGAGGCCGAGGACGCGGGGGAAGCAGAAAGGTCACAGCGCAGGGGGCGCTGTTGGAAAGTGTGTTGGTAACTTAGGGAGAGAAGAGAGAGAGAAGAAGGAAAGAGGAAAGTGAGGGGAGGAGAGGCTTTATAGGAAATCCTGGGAGGTCCCTGGGGGCTCAAACGGAAGGTGCCTGCCCAAAAGGGAAGGAACGATGGACACAATGGGCACAATGGCACGTGTATCCCCCATTGTATTCACGTTTTAGGAAGTGGCGACTACCATAAAAGGACTAGTAGCCCAGAAAGCAGCCCAGAAAGGGACTAGTAGCAACCTATTGTCCCCCAGGGCTGACGATTGAGCCCATTGAGCCCATTGAGCACCTTCAATTTAGAATGGCTGGAGCTACCGAAAAGGGACTAGTAGACTATTCAGCCTTAATTTTGATAGCCATGCCAAGGTTCCATTGCTTCAGGCTCTAGGTTTTCGTATTTGTATTCGTAGATGCCAGCTTGGATCGGTCTCTTCGTTGTAGAACTTGCAGATAAGTATTAACCTCACTTGACACTTGCACTAGAGAGCAACTGAGAGATATGTACAATGCTATATACATTACAGGTATCTGTAGTCTGTCTGGTCAAAATGTCAGGCTTTGGGGGGCAGGTGCATGTCTCATGACTCTAGGCTTTTGTTTTATATTGCAGGTACACTGAGGCTTCTTGGCTGTCTAACCTCTCACTTTAGATAGCATTATGATCACGAGATCTGATGTTAACTAGCTTTCATTTTGCCTTCATGGTATACTGGAATTGTAACTATTCGTCGTCAAGATGGCCATCGCATTGATGTATCTCCGCGAGGTGACATCGTCACCTCATATCAGAACACCAGGCTTTGGAGAGCATTCCCAACTCACTCAAAACGAGTTATTAAGCAGTGCTTGTCAGATTTCAGTACGATAACGCGCCGGTTATCCAGCTTAAATACCATACGAATGTTCGAGAGACTTTACAATCATGACGGCCTCACTGGTCTGTCTCCGTCGTGCCCAAAATCGTCGTCGATCTGAAAACCCCTGCTCCTCCCTCCACGAGTCGAATCACAATCACATTGGAAAGTCCTATCCTCCCGGGGCCTGCGGGGCCCATATCAAGCGAGAATATGATGATATGGATCGAGATGCAACATTGGGGGCTGTCGAGCTCTTCGTCCGACACGGCTTAGAAGTCCAAATTCCTAGGCTCGCAGGACTCTACTGTGAAATTTGCAGCTCATCATATCAAAACGACGACACGTGCAGGCAGCACACGAAACCGATATCTACCATCTCGACCGAGACGACACCTTCCTACACATTTTCGGAGAAGGTAGGCAAGACTGAAGCCTCCACACACCATCATCGAGCTAAGCAAAAGCCCCAACCGTCTAAAGAACCGGCTACTGCCACCTACAGGTCAAATGCTTCCGATCTACGATTACAAACCGAGTATAAGTCGCAAATATGTTTGCCGAAACAGCACAACCACAGCTACCCCTTATCTGCTCGGGCAAGCAAGCATACGTTCCGCGAAGACTGAGCGGCGATAGGAAATGGTTTAGAAAACGATGACTATATTTGGATTTGATACGGTCTGTGGATTGTCATAATGATTTTGTATACTGCCGACCAACCTCCACATACAGACGGGAGATCACCGTAAACTTTTATATATCTGAGTTTGCCAAGGCTTTGTATGAGCGTTTTCCCTTCGAAAGCCTAAAGTATGTTATTTTACTACCACCATCCCTAACAAATCCCGGGAGGGGCTTGAATTTCCGTCTAAGTAGTCTCCTTTGCCATTTTTGCGGTGTTCTTGGTACTCCAATTGGTAAGTTGTCGCCGCCTTTGTTTTGTGACATCTCATACCGGCGAAGACTGGAGTCAATATAACCTTCGGTTCGATATTGAGGATGTCTGAAACCTCCAGGGCTACCTTGATTCGCTTGATTAACTCTCAAATCTATCTAGATGACAGATAACACCTTTCTTTTTTGTTAGAGTATTTCCTCCTGGTGCTCTAGTTGTGAGGTTTTCAAGTCGGTTCGAAACTTGTTTCGTTTAAACAACGTAGATCTTGTTTTATATGAGACCCTAGGCCAATAAGAGAACGGCATTCTCTGATTTCTTAAATATGTGGGAACTGTTAATTTCGGACTCTAAATCAACATCTAACCCTAGTCTGGATCAGATAGACAGTTTGATATAGCCGATAGAGGAAATAAAGAGCGATAGTCAAGTTGCTGACAAGTATTATGTCTCTTGGCGATCTATACTCGAAGAATATAAGTTGACGTAAGGAACATCCAAGTAGACACCGATGACTAGGATCACAACAGTATCATTGGAATGTACGTACGCGTTAGTAGCGGATTATCGTGCTAATAAATGTTTTGATGCAAACCTTTGGTCTTTCATTTTTTGTTTCCTCTGATGTTGGGCCTTTTTTTTTTTCTTTATTCCCTCGGACTTTGTATACCGAACTTCAAATGTTTTTCCAAATTGCCATGTACACTTGAAGCGACCAATAAAAGTCATGAATATATAGTCTCGCTGACAAGCTTCAAACTCAATCCATGGACCCGATACCGAAGCCACGTAAGTGCTATTTTTGGGCGTTTTCAATCAAATGCGACACAACTATGTAATGATTGGTGGATAACTAGTGTTCCAAGAGTCCAAGAGTTGAACATTGGGAATGTGTCGAAAACATGGCCAATAGGATGATCATGTATAGAGACAACACATCAGATTCCAAATCCGAGGTATCGAGGACTTGTAATCTTCAGAAGTCTATTTGTTTTTTCTTCTTTATATTTTTTTCTTTCTTGTTCTTTCTTTCATCTCCCCTCTCTTCATCTGTCTCGTTTCATCCGTGTGCTAGTCTGTCTAGCATCGCAAGGCATCTACGGTTCCCAGCTCGCGGAGGCTTCCTCCTCCACCATGCACTGACCCGCTACTTACGATTCAAACTGCCTTCGCACACTGCAATTCCCCAATCTTCCTCAAGCTTTCTTCTGCATTTCTATTCACAATGGGGCTCTCCAACGCAGCCATCATTGTCATCGTCCTCGTCGCCTGTCTCGGAGCAACCGCACTGGGAGCATCGCTCTTCAAGCACTACAAACCCGCCGATGGAGAGACCCCGTGGAGTCCAGGCTACGAGCAGAAGGTCTACATGGCCGAGGTACGGGCTCGAGGATTCGAAAATCTGAGGCAGATATACTGGGGTGGACGAGATCTTGAGTCGCGTTGTATGTTCTAATGATTTCTTGATCTGCTCATGTCGCTGACTTTCATTGTTGATTAGATCTCCCAGCGGGGCCGAGCTACTATCGTCCCCACACCACTTACACTGAAGACACCAACACAAAATATACAGCGAGCTCGTAACCTCTCCTCTCTCCTTTTCTCATCGCTTTTCTCGAACTTTTTATGAATTACATGGATATTTGACGGAACGAACACGGGTGTTACACGGGGGAGAACTGGCGTTACACGGGGTTACATCGAGTCACAACAATGATGGGTTCTTCTCAGGAAACAAACACTGAGATGCGAATGAGTTTGCCTGGTTTCACGGGACTAGGCATATGCTTTGGGGGAGTATTCTGATTCGGTCGGCCATGGTGGCTTGGACAATTTTTTGTCTCGAAATTATGGTTTTTTTATGGTATGGGATGGCCCTTGGATCTGCCCGCGACTCATCTCGAAATTATTGCCTTGCAGCCGATTTGCTTGCATTTGTATCTGATATTCACAGTATTGCTCTGATCGAATCAAAGAAAGTCTATCTTTACAAGACGAATCCATTGTGTGATCTGAAAATCGCTCCGAGCTTTGGCTTGGAATATCGCGACTAATCGGAGCTTTCCAAAGCTATATATCCTCTCGAATCCATGGAGACATGGCCAGATCAGTCTCCCGCTCCAATACGGGGTGAATCGCACAGAGCCACACAGTCAGATCAAGGAGGCCCCATTCACCAGCGGGCCCGCTGTCTCGCGCCCTATGGGATTCACCATCGCTGTGGTTCATCGTCCCCCGGGAACGTTCCAGATAGCAGATATGGTGGACAGGATATGATTATGTGCGGCCCTTGCGGACAGGCTTCGGTCGCGTTTCAAGCGTTTGGCCAGGCTGTTCAGGCCGGTGGTTTTCGGCGTGTGGTCTTTTTTTCCGGGGGTATCGGGCCTTTAGATGGTTCTTTGCCATCCTGACCATCTGTTATACTCTCCACACACAACCTGGGAGCTGGAAGGAGTCACTTTTCATCATGTCTGTGTGGTCTGTGGTCTCTGGTCTTTCCGTACGTACGTAGGATGTTTTGTCTCGTTCTCCATAGTATTTTCACCAATTCCGCCTTGGATTTGGGAGGTTAATGGATTCTCTTGCCTGGGATGTGTTTTCCACTGCCCTTTCGCTGCTGCTCGTATTCGTATGATCATGCAGATCCTGACATTGGCGAGTCTTGGGCCTAGCTCACGAATGGGGAAAACGGCAAATCAAAAGAGCGCGAAACTTCCCAACTCCTCGGCTTGAGTTCGCGAATCTCGCCATACCATACAATATTGGGTAGGAGGGGATTGGGGTCAACTCCACACAACTTATGGTCTGCATTATAAATTATGCTGCGCATAACTCGGCTTCCGAACTTCCGTAAGAAGTCGGAAGAACTCTTGACCGTCTTTCGGGGATCCAGGAGCATTTTGTGATTGTTTTATGAAGTCATTTACATTTGAGCCGACATCAGGGGGTGGCTATGGGTGTCCGGAGAAGTTGAGGCTGTGAATTGCCCTGTCGGGCGCACGGATAGAAAAAACGCCGAGACCGAACATCAGAACGGCTTTCGGTGCACAAATCCTATCGAGATGCGTACTCCGTACTCCGTATTCTGTATGGGGTATGGAGTAGCGAATAATTGGAATGCCTTCAAAATATCACTCGAGCTTGGAACGATCTCGCAAAGGGAATTGTAGATGCCTAGCCTGTAGAGTTTACGGCCAGATTTACACTCCGTCTGTGTCTCAAATGTCCCAGGCAGCCAAGATATTCGTCTCTCCAGATATAAACCAGCCGTATTCGCGCTGGTTTCCTGTTTCGACGGTCCCACCCTATTGCCCAGGCTCGTGCACATTGACATGGACAGCGGGGAAGGCCAAGGCTGGCTAGCTACATGTATTTATACTAGAGGTTTCCTTTGAGTCTTTGTAGCTCTCAACTCTCAGCTCTTTGCCTTTTTATCATTTTTCTTTCCTGTGTTTTTCTGGACGTTCAATCTAAAAACGCAAATATGGAATCTCCCGATACTATTCCAAACTATGATAGCGATACAACAAGCGAAGAACGGTACGTAAGAATACTTCGGAGAAGAAAAAAGCATATAAATTCTTTCGTTATACTGGCAATTATGTCTAATTCAACCCCAGACCATCGACTCAACCCGTCAACACCAAAATCCAGGCCAAGTTCCAAATAGCCCGGCCGCCCTCAAAATCAAGCCAACGACTTCGACTTAGCCCCAAACTACTCCTTCAAATTCAACAACTACCTCCAAACCACCGACCAGTGCCTGTACTGGAGATATGGCAGCCACCATTCCGCAAGTCAAAATTGACCAAAGGTCTCCCTCAACGCCCAAAGCTCGGCACGAGAGATATCTACGCAACCCTCAATGAGCCATATATCACCAATAAACAGTCAATGGGACAAAAACATCCCAAAGAAGAAGATACAAAATCAAATAATGTCCAAGAAGAGGATATCGTCGCTGCTATGTGCCAACCGTCAAGCAGCATCAGTTCTACATCCTCAATTCACTTCCGCGACACAAAATGCATCTGGAAATCCAGTACCAACTCGACAGGAACTGAGAAAGGGACTTTTTACAGATTCATCATTAAAGAAGAAAGCACAGCCGGCTCTGAGCAGCCCCGGATGATTATGCAGTGGGAGAAACGGGCACTCCCTGCAAATGGAAATGGAAATGCGGCTCCAGATAATGAACAGTTCATTCTTATGGCGATTGACCGCAAGACACGCCGAAAGAGTCGCATTGCTACGATGAATCGGGGCGGGTTTGATATTTTCATAAGGAAGAGTTCGATCCTGGACCATCTTCGGACTTGTATGACGTTGACGGTGCCTGTTTCTGAGAGCTCTACGGATTTGGAGACTTGGTTGTACACTCTTGTGTTAACTTTGGGTGTCTCGGTGGCTTCTCAAGAAGGATGGTTGGGTTGATTGTTCTTCATCGCCGGTGGAAAACATGCATGTACCTTAGATATTATGGTTACTTGCGATACCTTTATGAAAAGCACTGGGGCTACTGATATTTATACTGGATTACTGTCATAAATTGTGTTGTAGCCATAAATATACACCCATTTATAGGCTAAGTATTGTCGAGGCCATCGCCGAGGTCATCGCAAGCGCAAGTCCCCATTTATCAGTAACTACCAAGTAGTCAATCCCTCTTCCAGCGCTTTGATCTGCAATGCCAGTAGACGCGAGTAGTATCTGCTAAGAGCGAGATTCCCACCCATAAACCAGAATCCAGGGTGACCACTCCGCCGCCAGATAGTCCGCATTTCACCCTCTTTATCAAGTCCCCAGATATCACCAACCCTGTCAGCAACCTTGTCGCCAAATATCACGCGAGTCTCGGTTCTCATATTCTGGTACCCAGTAGCGAACACGATTTCATCGGCTTCGAGCTCTGAGCCATCCTCAAACCGGAGTCCATGGGGAAGCACTTGGCTAATTTCCTGGCCATGCTTCACCTTTACCTTCCCATCGATAATGAGCTGGCTTCCACCGACATCAATATAGTAACCGCCTCCGCGCTGGAAGTACTTCATTAGGAGACCGCTGTCCGAGGGTCCGCTGTCAACCTTGAAGCCTGCCTTTTCCAATCCTTGAATGGTCTTTGCATCGTTCTGGTTTATGAGCTTGGTGACTTTGACTTGTTGCGCTTTGAACAGACGCGATGGCATGCTCCACATATGAAGATCGGCGTCCTCGGTTGGTGGGCCGCTTGCGTCATAGAGCCCTTTGAAGGCAATTTCCAAAGTAGATTCAGACGATATCACACAGGTAGAGCTTCGCTGCACCATGGTCACATCGTACCCTTTCTCGACAAAGTCCTGGGCGATATCGTTTGCCGAGTTACAAGATCCAATGACAATGGCCTTTTTCCCCTTTGAGTCGGCATTGGCGCCAGGATGCTCCGAGCTGTGACACAAACGATCTCCCTTGAAATCATCCATTCCTTTGAAAACAGGCATGTTTTTCTTGCCAGAGTGGCCAGTAGCTTGGATGACGTGCCGCGGGTGCAAAGTGCGCGTCTCAGTTCCGTTTTCTGTCTTGCGCTCGAGAACAACCGTCCATCTCTTCTCGTTCTCGTCCCATGATGAAGATTTGATCTCGGTTTGGGTCCAAACATTAAGCTCTCTGAACTTAACGTAGGTTTCGAAGAAATCCGCTAGCTTATCCTTTGGTGTATAGACGGGCCAGTCGGCCGGGAAAGGTAAGTAGGGCATGTGGTCGTACCACACTGGATCGTGGAGAACGAGTTGGTGGTATCGCCGACGCCAGTTGTCTCCAATTCTTTCTTCTCGGTCGACGACGAGGGTGTCGATCTCGAGCATCTTGAGACGCGCCGCAGCAGTCAAGCCACCCTGGCCAGCACCTTCCCTCCTCAAGTCAGATCTTATACTTCTAGGGAAAAGCTTCATCGACACATACCAATGATCAATACCACAGGGTCCTTTCCTTCAAAGTTAATCTCATCAATACGTCGATCTCTCCAGTTCTTTCGACCTTGCTGCTCGCCGTGTCGGACACCAAATGGTCTCTCCTTGTTCTCCTTGTAGCCCTTTGATTCAATCAGGGAAGTGAAGACGGTGAAAATGTACCAGTTGCCCTCATGTTCCGCCAATCTTATAATACCATTTCCCTGTCCATTCTCGGTAGTGACTTTGATGTAAAATTCGATTCCGAAAACATCACCAAAGAAATCAATAGGAGCCTTATGTGGGGATTTCAAGTCAGACGATCGGTCGATTTCGATTTTGCTGGGCGGTGCCTCGGTGACAAAGGCAGCGATAGCTTGACTGCCCTCGAGGGTGTGGAAGTCCCATGAATAGCACAAGTGGTCACGCCAGTAGCAATTCTCGAGAAACAGTGATGCAACGGCGGCCTTGTCTCTGGCTGAGAGGCTCGAGTTCAGCTGGTTGATGATTCTATCTGCAACAGTATTCGGGTCTAGGGGAACATCTGACTCAGACTCCGACATAGTCTTAGGGAATTCGCCAGGTTCGATGTTGCATGAACCTGGCACAACTCGCTCACGCGATGGCGGTAGGTCATTGGATTTTGTCATGTTGAATTTGGTGATTGTTGATTTGGTTTGATTCGATTTAGGGTCTGACAGGAAGTACAAAGAAGAGGAATAGCCCCTCACTTCTTATTTCGCCTGTTGATACCCCGCATATTGATTGACAACACATACCTAGTATGTACAGATCTGCTGAATGCGGGGCTATAGCGTTTTACCCCGGCTATGCCATTCCCGGGGTCCCCATCTACAACCATCTACAACAGTCTATTTACTTACTTTTCTAGTGGCGCAGAGATCTCACTAATGTTCCCTGGCTACTGAGCCCTTGGTGTTAAACTTGTTATTTTCTTTCGATCCTTCTGTTGTCGATATATAAATTCCAGTTGCTTTAACGTTGGACCAAAAGGCCTATTGTAGTACGAAAACCTCGACTTACATTTTACGGTGGGTTATCCTGATGTGGGTACCTAGATAGGATAAATCAACCCTTGACGTGGTATTTTTTATGGTTGTTGGCCGTTTTTGTCTATGAGACATGTTTGCTTGCTGTCTACAGCTAGTCATTTGAAATATATACAACCCGAGCTCTTTGCCTGGTAGGCAACGCTATACACCAATAAGTTTTCTGTTCGCCAAATTGTTATTTAAAGCTACCGAGTAAGTTTCTATCTCCGTTAAGCATTGATTTTCCAAAGTTTTCAGTTCTTTAGCTGAGAAATTAGATTATTGCTTTGGCTAACAGCTACGAATTGGGAAGCTCTTTGATAAGTATATTATACACAATAGTGCAGCGTAATATATCAACTAGCATCATTGGTCTAGTGGTAGAATTCGTCGTTGCCATCGACGAGGCCCGTGTTCGATTCACGGATGATGCACAAAGATTTCCTTTTTTTTTTCTCTTTCAATTATTCTGCTCTTGATCCTGATTGATTGATTTTTATTTTGCAAACGGCGGACCAGCCAATTTCTGATATATCGTCTATGCTCCGGGGCTGCCTGGCAACATAGTAAACAGTCAATACCAACCAGCGCACACTACTTCTCAACCGAGAACCCCTGAGACACCGTCATGAGAAAATTACCATCATCAAGCAGGGAATCGGTATCCTCTACGAGAAGAAATTCATTCTAATTGGTCCTCAATCATGAAAGTTATGGGCTCCATCTCTCTGGACCCCAATGACAGATGTCTGCGGCCGCAATTACAGTCCTGTATACAACCGAAGCGAGCATAGACGATAACAACTAGAACTCGCATTGCACCCTACGAACTGGTGCAGCGCCCATTGTGAGCCTCCCATACAGATCCGACTTCCCCGGCATTGACTAGGCCGGATGGATTGACTTTGATGGGACCTGATCTATCGCTGACAACCAGTACAACTTTGCGCCAGTGCCAAGCTCAGCAATGCTCGCGATTATCGGGTCGTCTGGATGGACAGATTACGAGCAAGTCGGGTGTGGTTGGCCGGGCGTCTTGCTTCCAATACCTTGACTAGGTATACAGCCGCGATTGACAGCAACAGCGGAAAGGCCACGGATTTGAAGTCAGAGGCACATTATGGTGGCATAAAAGTAAAAAAGTCTTATCACCTGTCACTTTTTGTGAGGTCGCTACACGGTAGAGACTACTGTTATCGCTTCTGATGATGACTGAAGAGTGGATTGGCCGGTTTGTATGGAGGCTATGGTGGTGGTTTCAAGAACGTCCAGATGAGCAGTCTGGCTTGAGCGAACTGTGGTCTTAATTGATCTATGCGACAATCGGAACGGGGCCCTGTTTAAATACTATCTCAGGTCCATACAGGCCCAGAACTCGACGTGATTCACATTTTGGACAATCTACCCGAGGCAATTTCCCGTTTGTAGCAGAGTGGAGCATGAGAAGTCTTACATTCTTCAACTATTTGAACAAATCCATGTCAGATAGTTTAGCTATATGAAGTATTTCCCTTGGAATTGGAATATTCAGACTTAACACTACAAAGACAGATAAATATAGACTGGACAGTGCAGGAGGACAAAGCGTATACGACTCGGAACTTTGAAACGTCTCGGAATTTCGAAACGTCTCAAACGGCACATCGCGAAATCCTCAAATTAAATTCCATTCTTCGTACGAGACCTGAGTTCCTTCCAGCCCCCTCCAGTGTTCGGAATGCGGGGAACCTTTCGTCACTCCCTTGACACCTTCCTCCCTTGATGATTTTGTCGGTCACCCACGTTGACCATATCTTTCCTGCACCGTTTATGTCGATGTGATTACAACGTGGAATCATCATGAGTCGGGCCCGGCGTCATGTTCTAGGCGCTTGCCTCGGGGCTTTCCTATTGCTCCTGCTCTATCGTTATCACCGCAACAACGATGCACCCAAAGTCACCCTGAATGTTGAAATCAACCCGAACTATCTATGGAGAAAACTACCAGTGCGATACCCGGTTGCTGAATTGCATCCACTACCTGTTACACTGCCCCAGACGCTCCCCAAGGTTCAACCGGCAGACTCCGAAGTCTCTCGTCTCAAAATCGACCGCCAAACAACTAGACAGTCGGTCGTGAAAGAAGCCTTTGAACGATGTTGGAAGTCATATCAGTCACTTGCTTGGGGCGCAGATGAGCTTGCGCCTCTCAGCGGTGGCCCTAAAAATAAATTGGGGGGTTGGAGTGCTACGATAATTGACAACCTTGACACACTGTGGATTATGGGGATGCACGATGAGTTCAAAAAGGCCGTGGCTGTGGTCACGGATATCAAGTTTGAAAATACACAGTCGCCTGAAATTAATACCCATCAAGTCAACATCCATTTACTCGGAGGCCTGCTAGCGGCATTTGATCTCAGCGCTGATCGGAAATTGCTGAAAAAGTCTATCGAGCTGGGCGATATGCTTTACGCTGCCTTTGATACCCCGAACAGAATGCCCATCATCCATTGGAATGTGCAAAAAGCTGCTCGCCGAGAGGAGCAGCTTGCAGAGGGAAGTGCACTCGGTCCAGAAATAGGCTCCTTCACATTGGAATTCACAAGGCTGTCTCAGATCACCGGTGACCCGAAATACTACGACGCGGCCCAACGCGTCATGGAATTATTTGACAAGCAACAAGACGCCACCAAGCTCGCAGGTATGTGGCCTGTCAGTGTGAATGCCAGTGAAGAACTTCTTGACGACGATTTCTTCACATTGGGCGCCGAAGCAAGCTCTCTGTACATGTCGCTACCTCGGGCATACGCTTTGCTAGGAGGCCAAGTGCCCATGTATCGTAAGATGTACGAGAATGCTACGCGCACGGTCGCAGGCTATACTTTATTTCGACCGATGAACCCCGAGGGCAAGGACGTGCTCATTTCTGGCACTGTCCAAGTAGCCATGACAGAGAATGGGAATGAACAAACACACCTAGAGCCGCGAATGCAGTACCAATCTTGTTTTGCAGGGGGTATGTTTGCACTAGGAGGCGCTTTACTCAACATCCCTACGCACCAAGAAACCGCCCATAGGCTGGTCGATGGATGCATCTGGGCTCACCGGGTCATACCGCTGGGGATAATGCCTGAAGCCTTCGATGTGGTTCCATGTGCGTCGCAAAAGAACTGCCCATGGAACGAGTGGCACTGGAAGCAGGAGGTCTGGAAAAAGGCGAACAGCCTCGAAGCCGAACCAAATCCAAATCTCAACGTCGATACTTTCATTAAAGACCACCATCTACCCAAGGGATTCGTTGGGATCCCGGATACTGCTTATAACTTGCGCTCAGAAGCGATCGAGAGCATGTTTACTCTCTACCGCATCAGTGGTCGCGAGGATCTACTCGATGCAGCTTGGGATATGTTCCAGGCAATGCAAAGTGCGACGCAGACGAAGAATGGGAATGCAGCGATCGTTGCTGTCACGGATGAGGGTAGTGAACTGACCCTCAAAGACTCAATGGACAGCATTTGGATGTCGCAGACACTCAAATATTTCTATCTCATGTTCAGCTCTCCAGACCTGATTAGTTTGGATGAGTTTGTTTTCAATGCTGGAGGGCACCCACTGAAACGTCCCGAGGCATCATGACAAGAAGTGCATTTGTTTTCTACCACCATCCCTCTTTTTATTTTTAATTATATGGTTGGAAGAACTGATGACTAGAATATCTATAATTGTACCATAGTGTTTATTGTATATAAAGCAAGGGTTATGGTTCATTAAGCCCGGATTCTCTGTTCTCTTTACCAATGAAATTGACCGAGGGAACTCAGTCAGATAGGCAAATTTTCTATATCGAATATATCAACCATTTGTAACTTCTTACAACGAATATACAGGTCGTGAGTGTAAATCCCATGGTTCGTCGCCCTCTGCAGCCCACTCCTCCTGGGTCTTCATTCCCTTCAAAGGGATCCCCGTCCGTTCGGCATACTCTCGGAGAACATACAAGACGCTCTCGTCTCCGGAATGTAGTGCCCAAGAGTATGGCGAGTGCCCATATTTATCGTGGGGGTTTGGATCGACTCCTTTAACAGTAAGCAACAGCGCAACCTTGTATTCATCCCTGCGAATTGCCGCTAATGCCAATGGAGTAATCCCTTTATCATCTCTGGCATTGACATCAACACCGGCAGCAAGAAGAATCTTTATCGATGCCATACTTCCATGTCTGACGGCAAATAACAAAGCCGTCTGGTGGTTATTGCCGAGGATCGGCCGATCTAGCTCGGATTTGTTCAGGACAACCATTAGCATGATGACGCGCGGACCTGCAGTTTGGATTGCGTGCATGAGGGGCGTAAGGCCGCGGTGATCCGGGCTGTTTGCATTGAAACCCGGTATGGAGAGCAGTAGCCTGACCGCTTCTTCATCGTTTCTGATTACCGCCTATATTAGTGGCGACATGCCCTCATGATCGGGAATTTCTGGATCAATCCCTTTGGCGGCGAGCAGTATCCTCATTATATCGACTCGTTTGGACATCACCGCCTGAATGAGTGGAGTCCTGCCTTGGTAGATGGGCTGCGGATCGACACCGTCGTGAGCGACAAGCAGCCGGAGAGTTCTCAAACTCCCCGCTGTAACCGCCAGCCCCAACGGTGTGAGGCCGTAGTAGCCCTTGCAGTTCGGGTTGACACTAGGCATAGCAAGAAGGAGTCTAGCTATCCGGTCATGATCGAACTCGGCTGCCACATGCAGTACGGTGTCACCGTTGTACTTTGCCATGGGATTGGCACCTGCTTGCAGTGCATTTCGACAAACACTTTCTCGGTTGAGTCTTGCAGCGAAGTATAAGGCATCGCTCTGGGGTCGTGCCGCATCGAATCGAAAAAGGTAGGGTGGTCCTTGTTCGAGCAAGTGCAAATATATCCCCCGATGATTTGAGCTTATCTGCTACTGCTAGTAGCAGTTCGTTGGGTAGTTCGGACAGAATCATTTCAATTTGGGTGACGACGAATCGTGCCACTACGAAAATGGGTCTTTCCGGATCACCACTAGTTAACTGACTATGATCACCGCCTTAGTTTGGGTTTAGGAGGCTTGGCATACGTCTCTATCCGCAGAACACGCGCTTCTCATTGGCTCTCGTACTTCTATGTTTTCTTTTACTTCTTTTATTTCATGACTCTTATTGCTATCACTTTATAACTCTTTTGCTTCATGTCGCCTGTGGCCTATGTAATCCTTCTAATTCGCGCTGCCGCCGACGGACCGCTGCAGCATTCTGGCTCATCTTCCACAACAGTTCCTTTTTTATCTCCTCCCGGTGTTTCCCAATTTCTTCCTCGGTTTCTACTTTCATCTGTCAAGTATCAGTCTCTATCCTCATATGGTCTGACTATACACGTACGAGGTATCCATCTTCAGTACTAAACTCGCAACCAATACAGCGTCCTGGCCCGATATATTCCACTTTATTGAAGGGGCGTGTGACGTGTTTTAGGATAGTGTTACACCCATGACATAGAAAGGTATAATCTTGGCGGCGTGGTGGTCTTGGAGATTCAGACGCCATGTTGTAGTATTCGATAATAGAGATGGGGTTGAAGTGAGGGTTTAGACGTGAGTATCTGCGTGATCATATACCGTGTGCATATATATCTACCCCAGGGATTAGAGTTACTCCGTTCCGTGCATTGACATGTCATATTTCACAACGCCGTGCCGACCCATGTTGTTGTACGAAGTACTTATTTCTCCCCTGACTTTCCCTGCCTTGCTATCTATAGCAGAATATGGCAGAATTCTATGTTGCACCCGATTGGAAGGCGGTACAGGATATTCAGGCAGCCGTGAACTCTGGGCGGGAAGCCTCAGGTGTCTAAATCTACTGAGCCCCTGATTGTAATCACATGCCCTCAAATATATACAATATGTTCGAAAGTGGTGATATATACTATTTGATGGGCGCTGTCCACAGTAGGACTTCGGCTTATTAGTTTAAGTAGGAGCTTGGTATGGGGTCGATGCATTGTGGGGCAGTGACACACAGTGACACACAGTGACGGATATTGACTCGTGAATTCAGAAAGATAAAATGAATGAGATTGGTCTGAAATATCAGACACCAAACAGATATTCCATGCACATACAACATGACCACCATCGAGTCCACAAGGTTGCGACCAGCCAGCCAGCTAACACCGACATCAACACCCTTGTCCATCCTTGACGCAACAGTCGTGCGCTTTGCTCCAACAGGAGCAATCTGGATTTTTAACCAATCTGCAGACCTAGATCAGAAGACCCTGGTTGACCGCTTGCGAACTTCCTTCATTGAAACCCTTTCAAAATTCCCTCAATGGGCAGGCCAACTCCAATGGGCACCCGTCAACCCCAAAGGAGACCACACAGAACGTTTCAATCGTCCATTGATTGTATACGGGACTGATACCGACCCAGGTGTCGAATGGACAGTAATTGAGCGCCCCTTCCGAGCAGACGAAATCGTCCCCACAGCGGGGGAACGGGCTTCATCGACCACCGGCTCTCAACCCGGAGTATGGGTAGGCGATGACTTCGACGAAAGACTTTTCATATCATCCAACCCACTGGCATTGGCCAACCTGCGCGACTATGCCGGTCTGCCAGGGATGCAAGTCCAAATCACTCTCCTCCAGGAAGGAGGCTACGTGATCGGAATCAAAATGGCGCACTGTCTAGCGGACGCACAGACTTTAATGGTATTCGTGCATCTATGGGCGCATAACAGCAAAAAGCAATTTGGAAATCAGCCCGAATCTCCGCTAATGGGCGAGCCCGTATTCGATCCGACGTTGCTAGACAACTGCGCCGCGGGCGATATTGATAGCCCCGAGCCAGATCGAACCCTCGTACACACCGCGCGCAAATTGCCCTTGCATCGGTATAGCTGGTGGGATACCAGCGACGAGGGCTACCCGGCATTTTTGATACCAACGACAGAGAACTCCAAACCCGCAGAAATCGACTACAAACAAGTCTCGCCCTCCGAGCCAGCACCCTGGGGCTCGTGGGATTTCTCCAAAGAAGTCAGGTACACACAGTTGCACTTTACAGGTGCGGAGCTAAGCAAATTCCAAGCCGCAGCCCTCGACACAGGCAGTCGAGGTGACATCTCTCGACTGGACGCTCTACTCGCGCACCTGTGGATAGCCATTACACGAGCACGCGGACAAGCCAACTCGTCAAGACCCATATACATGGATTTGAGCCTCGGCACACGGCCGCGTGTTTCCCCCGCTCTTCCTGATACGTTCATCGGATCGCCGTTGTTCCTGACCCATGTTGGTGGAACCGCTTCCTCGATATGTCAGGAAATATTAGGCGAGACGGCTAGTCGGATCCGAGAGACCATGAAGCGGTTTACGGCTGATGCTGTGGGTGCGATGTTGCATGATGCTGCGCACGAGGTGTCGCCCCAGCGGCTGTGGCAGGGGTTTTTGGGGCCTGAGCATACGCTTGTTACGTCGTGGTTGCGGCTGCAGGTGTATGAGGTTGACTTTGTGGGTGGGGATAAGCCACGTTATGTGCACGCTGTTATGCCTAAGATGGACGGGTGTCTTCAGGTGATGGATAGTGGGGTTCATGATGGCGGGGTGGATGTTGCGCTCTATCTTGACGCGGTGGCTACGGGGCGGTTGCTTGATGGTGACTGCTTTCGAGTATGAATTTCGATGCTTTTATAAGTCCATTCTAGTGGACGAACAGCAACTATTGGTTTATATCCACGTAACCGCGTAACCGGGACTACCAAAAAAAATAAATAAAAGGAATCAAAATTTATACAGAAGAATTAATTATAAATGAAAAGCAATACCTAAGCACTCATTGAAAGCGCCCGATGCCGTGATGTCCGTTTCCGACAATCAGCATCTCGACTCTTGCGCCCCATTCGGCCAAGAGACATGCTCTCAAGAGTCTCGGGCTTACCACCCCAAAGCTTAGTTCTGCCATTCCGTTTTTGTTGTATAGGTGGAATCCAGAAGTGCGTGACTGCTGCGCCGATGATCATGCAGGCGCTGAAAACAAGGAGAACAATGCCGTGCTTGCGGGTCGATGCGTTACCCGGCCCTGCGCCGAAGTGATAATATGCTGAGAAGATTTGTACGAGAATAGAACCCAGCTTTCCAGCCCCAGCGCTGATACCGTGACAGGTTGCGCGGTATCGGGTTGGGAAGATCTCGGCGGGGATCATATAGGTTGTTGCATTGGGGCCTGTGGGTAGTTGGTTAGAATGATTTAGTGCATCGTAACCCAGGTTTGACTTACCAAAGTTGAACATGATTTGGCCAACGATGTACAATGCCACCACAGCAGGAGGGTGGGAGTAAAGACAGACGAACATGGTTCCCAGGGCGATAAACAGAGCCGCTAGTGCGAGGAACATGTACTTTTGCAGTGCCACGCGATCCAGTTTATGGGCAAAGACAATGAGCAGTAGGCCACCGACAAAACTTCCGATGTTGAGCACAATCAGCCCGCGCACAGAGGTTTCCATGAACATCGTGTAGATATCGGCGTCTGGTGAATCGTCTGTCATCCAGCTCGGTGCCGCCGCGGAGATATGAAGCTGGCCCCACGTCTTTGCTAAGAATTGAGGGCTCGACAATCCGATACCGTAGAAGCCGAAATCAAGGAGGAGCCACGCGAGAGAGCAACCAGCCAAGCTGCGCCAGTTCCCTTCTGTCCAGAAGTACCGCATGATGTCGCTCCGTGCCAACCGCCAGTGAGAGTTGAGGGTAGCGGGGGGTAAGCGGGTGAACTCGTCATCATCTTCATCGTTATCGAAAGTCGAACGGCTAGCAATGGACGAAATCGGAGGTAGTTGAATTGCGCTACCGGCACTGCATGTCGCAGTGTTTCCCCAGCCCACAGAATCAATCATACCGGGCGTGTCACTGAAAAGGGTGGTTGCATCAAACTCCGCCGTGACGGGATCGTCCACGATATCGACTAGGTAGCGAGGGCTCTCTGGGATGGCGAACCGGAAAAGAGTAGCGACTGCGCCGGGCACGACTCCGATGGCGATAACCCAGCGCCACATTATATCGACAGTGCGGGTGATGTCTTCACCCGGAGTGCTATTAGCACGAGCCACTGCGATAACAACCAGTGAGACGATGTTGCCTGCAATCTGACCGAGTGGCTGCATGAAGAAGACGGTAGCCATCATGCGGGCGCGATGCTTGGTGGGGGCAAATCTGATATTTCAAGGGTCAGTTTTTCCACAATTGAAGATTTCGAGATCGATCGACATACTCAGACGTAATCACTGCACTGAGTGGATAATCCGCGCCTACTCCAATACCGACACAGATTCTCCACCAAATAAGCCATGCAAAGACGTTCATGCTTCCGTCCACGCCTGTCGAAGACATGACCACACCTAGGGTGGCTGTAATGAGGAGTACCAATTCAACACCGTACATCTTCTTGCGCCCGTTCTTGTCGGCAAGAAATCCAAATGCCACTTGCCCTAGCAGGGTTCCCCCAAGTGTTGCGATATTGATGCATGTGAGTCGTAACGAGGAAGTGTTGTCTCTCCAGTATACGTAGGATATCATCGGTAAAGCCATGTTACTGGCAAATAGCTGTGTCGAGTATTAGCGGTTGCCGTTTATGCGTTGCGACAACATTTCAATCTGCTCTGAAACAGGGGGCTCACGCACTGTGTAACCATCGAGGAAGAACCCAAGACCGGCGACCAGCACGACAATCCATTGAAAGCCTTGCCTGTCGATAGTCTCGTAGATCTGTCGCATGCGGACATATCGATCCTAAAACCGAACTATTAGGAACCTGCATCATGCATGTCATGCTGTTCGGAGATTCCATACCTGCTCATGGTCGAAGTCCCTGGCACGGTCGGTTTTATACAACCGGGCGTGGAACTTGCCCATTGTGAATATTAGAAAGTTGAAAGATGGTTAAAGACTTAAAGTCCTACATTTTCGCAGAAGATCAGAAGATGCTTAGATTATACCCGGGGCTTCCAAGGTTTACAAACGAAATACAGACGGAGGCCCGTGATCCCTGCAGGCGCTAATGCGGGGCTAAGCTGCGAGCAAGACAAAGCTTTAGGGTTGTTCCCCCCACGTGCGGCGTCTCTTGAGCTTGACTTGTCCGTGGCCATCACGACGGATCCACATGCAACGGCCAGCCCACGAGGACTCCCTTGAGACATGGCGAATTTAGATTAGATGGTTCTTGTATTATTACCAATTGAGCCATTTATTCTAATTAATCACTTAATGTTGCATTCGATTATTCATTTCTTTCATTATATTTCATTATATTCCAGACGCAATTCTAGTCTCAAAAGGTATATGCAACGCCCAGGGGTATCTTGGTATTATGTGATACATATCGGCCCCTCTGCCCAGGAACTCCAACTCCATATAAAATCCATAGCAATTGAGGGATTTATATCTGTCCTCGTGAACGCTTCATCCAATCGTCAGGTCGTATGACAACATCTGACAAAATGCTGCGCAGTCTGGGAAAGAGAGAGGAATAAGCGAATAGTCCGAAATGAAAGAAACTCAAATGTGCACTGACCATCATCGTCAAGAAACTGAATCGTAAGATTCCGCATTTGACACAGAATCTCGAAGTTCGGATTCAGATCCAGTAGGGCTGGCCGCCCGGCCTTTTTCGGGGGTTTAATTGAGCCGATACAGTTCACTAGTCGGGCTGTTAGCAAGGTCGCTGTGGCCGGATCGAACCGAAACTCACGGGGTATGGAAACGTATCGTTTGAGCTCCCTCCGCTGCGAGTTAGCGAAGAATAGCATTACACGCTTCCCATTGTGCCCGCGGAGGATGCGAAGATTTTGGCTGATGCACTCTTCGCCCCGGCCTTTAGACTTGGCCTCGGCCATCCCCCCGATAAAGATCAACTTGGAGCAGAGCAGCAGTTCTTGAAACCGTACGCAATCTGCGAATGTAAGCGGATGTTCATCCTCCAAGGTTTCTCGGTCGCGTACCATCCCAATGATCGAATTTATATGATAGCTGCGTCATGAATACCGTGCTTCCCGTTTGGACCGTTTGCTGGTCCATAAAGGACACGCGAAGAGGGTAATCGTCGCCTGATTTTGGATGCTCTAGGTGGGGGACCGGCAGTTTTGTATTGGAGACTATGATATGAATGATCAGCATGTTTATCTTTCGGAGATATGCGACACAACTCACAGCCATGGATAAAAGGTGTTTGCTGGCCTAATCCTCCTCCGAGTTCAAGACATCTCAATGCGCCCGTTGAGTCCTTGCAAATATCAATGAATTTGTATTTCAGCTTGAATAGTTGGCCGTTTTTGACAAATGAACTGCGAACAAGTCAGCGCATTCCCACCGGAGGGAGCCATGTTCTCGACACAAACATTTGCACAGAAGGAGTCAGCTCGAGCCGCACGACTTCATCGTAGAACTGCCAGGATTGCTTCCTCGAGCTGGACCCTGGGGATGTCGCAGGACTCGGAAAGAGGATACTCGTTGACGCGGACGACACGGTGGAGGCGGAATGGGAGCTTTGGCGTCGATCTACCCACTCCTGGCAATCTCGAGGAGCAAAAGGGTTCATTCTCTCGTTCTATACAAGGGATAGGTAATGTTGAAGATACGATCGGGCGGATCCCGTCTGAAAAAGATCGGCCAGGAACACAAGTGGCATAATTGACGATAGAATTATATGTAGAAAAAGTAAATATACACTCGAACCTATGATATCCAGAAACCGAAAATACGTCGGGGATGAGCGTAACATAATGTGGAGAGGGGATGTGGAACGTGCTAAAATGGCTGGCTATCAGATCACGACGGGTCCCACTTGCATCGTGCTTTCCCATGTGGCTTTGTTAAATTTCATTGGGACGTTCAGCTGTTTGAGCTTGAATGATATCAGTATTACGGAGGACATTATCCGAGCTACCGTTGGTATAATTGCATTTTTTACCTCTATTAGCCAGGACCGATGCGCTTAAATATTCCCGAGGTTACTCCGTCTATATCTACACCTTGGAAGCTAGGCTAAATGATCCACAAACACCCAGAATACTTCTGGAACTGGTCTGGAAATTCTTACCGATCAGCATCCCATGGTTATAGTTCCGATGCCTGCAGCTTCCCGATGCGGGTCGCATAAACTCGGCTTTATAGTAGAGCCAAGGTGCCAATCAATGCCGAGACTCATGAAGTATAATTGATCTTGGGCATCCAGTCACACTCTTCAGACCCTGCACAAATCGGTACTAAAACACGTAATAGCTCTTTCCGCCGGAGTTATAGCTCGAAACTAGGCTTTCAATTTCCCTTCTTAGCTCTCGGACCCAGTGCCATATCGACATGCCTCGATCAACTATCGTTTTTTAGCCCAATCAGCGGGCCTAGTGTGATGTATGTTCGGGACTCGTTAGCCGCATTTGCAGACATAAATAGTCTTCAGATTAGTAGAGCTATATTTGTTATTTTATACTAATATGCTCCCGCAATTAGTACACGTCACAGAGGGTATAATTGAGTAAACCTCCAATGATAGAGGCGATTTGATACAGCATAGAAAGCCACATAACTACCTTGGCCACTACCACGAGTGATGTTTGTAAGATACTCGTCCAATACACACTGTTAGTTAGAGATCTGTTCGCATTGCCTAAACAGTCATCTTCCCAGGGATAATTGCCGACCTGACTGCCATTGACAAGTTACATAGGAAAAGCCGCGACCTGCAGATTCGTTGTTCGAGCTCGATAACCAGAGAATCCGACACGCAGTCGTGCTAGGACCCTCGCTCAGCATCGGCCCATTGTTAAATGAGCTGGAGCATAAGATATATTAGAATTAGCCCATACGAAAATGAACTAGATAAATTGAACGGAAGATGGCTCTGTTTGTCAGTGGAGATTAATAGTCCCGCATTTTTGATTTCAGGATCGAATCTGTCAAGATTGGAGGTGGCATGGGAAGACGTCACATTCCTCTCTACAGCGCGGGAAAGAGTTTTGCCTACCACTTGGGGTTATATTGTTCGCAACTATAGTCAGACTATGTAAGAAATGAATGTTAACTACTAACGACTTATCTAAGATTCATCTTACTTCTCTCTAAATTGTACCCGAATTGTAAATTTGGCTGTCATTATCTTGTCTTAAAAGGGTCAGCTTTTGTCCTTCGGAGCTCTTAGAGTCGTCTATCAGGGCTGAATGTAACTTCACTGACTTAATAATCATAGACCTCTAACTTGAATCAATTACACTAGCCTGTGATGTAGGTGGGCTACATATAAAAGCGAACTTGACAGCAGGCATCAACATTTCCTTGTCATCATCCATCAAGCTTCTGATCCAACACAGCATGTATCTCAATCGTCCAAACTATCTTTGGCAACTTATTTACATCTACTCGTACAGCTTACAACTTGCTAACGCCCCAGACATATCCTTTTGACATTCAATCTACGTCTTATCTTTACTCCGTCATACACAAGACGAAATCCCCTGAACTGATGACAAAATCAAGACACTTAGCGAAGTCAAAATGTTCGTCCCCGACGCAGAAGATCCAGGATCTAGATTTCAGGGCGAGCCTCACTTCAACATGGCTCCAGTCGCTCCAGCTCCAGCTCAGTTCGGTCTTGGGTACTTCGGTCCTCCGTCCGTTGACCCTAGTCCTGTTGCTTACGGTCCTTGCAAACCGCCGCCAATTTACCCTGTTTTACTTGGGCCCGCTCTTCTATCCCAAATAATCGAGCCCTCTTCTGAATCAGCCTCCCGAATGGTGGATGGCAAGCCGGTGTTTCATCCGCAGTTTGGATATTACCTCGGTCTTCGACCAATTGACTTACAGCCATTTGTCCCCGCGTCTTTTCCCTATCTCCCTCCTCTCTCGTATGGTGAGTGTCTTTTTTCCTCGCTCTCAATTGCTTGCCTTCCTTTGAACATTACTTTTACTAACCCGAACTCAGCTTCTTTCCCCGGCGAGATCTCGGAGAGCAAATCCCGCGAGTGCCTTGCTGCTCACCGCAAATTCATGAACTGGATCCATACGGTGTACTATTCATCAAAGTCGCCCGAATCATTTGTGCAAGCATGGCAACGAGCCCTCAAAGAGATGAAGCAGGCCTTTGGATCCCCATATCTTCCCACGATCTTCATCCTCAACCAATTCCTTGCTGCGGTCAGTGTAAATCCTGACACCATTCCATGGGTTGAGTCGCTCCACTTTGAGAAAGGTTCTCTGCCAGCATCCATACTAGATGAAGCCTTCGCCGATTTCCTGGAGTTTGAGGCATACCGACTAGGAAACCAACAGTCGCCCTTAGGTAACCTAGGTGCTGACGTCGCTAACGTGTATCAAATTGAAAATTTCGCCAAGCATTACTGTCCCTTTCACCTGCGTCTCACAATGCATCCCATTGAGGAATGTTTTCGAAACCCACAGAACACGAAGCGTAGGAGAAAGTGGAGGCGGAAGCAGGCACGGATGGCAGCAGCTCTTGAGGCCGAAAATGGAGGCGGCTATGATTGACATGTTCTGTTGGAGAGGTTACCGGCCATCAGGTGAGATTTAATTTCTAGTGTCCTTGTCGTGAAGAGGCTACGGCTCTTTGTTTTAATGAGTGGGATCTGTGTTCAGTCTTTTATTCTTTCATTTCTCATGTCCACTGTTGACACTTTCCTACCAAGATGCCCTCTCCTTCCGTTGCAGATGTTTTGAACATCACCAACTTTCACACCCATGAATGCCTGAAGGATCGGCTACAGCAGCCAGATTAATTACTTCTTGCACCTTTCCCTTTTTCTTTTCTGTCATTTACTTTGCAATTGATTTATGAAAATTTTCTCCATTCTAAAATTGCTATTTTATCTCTGGTGTAGTTTGCATCATCCTATCCACCATGCCTGCTATAATATGTATGCGCTGTTCTATATATCCTGCTCTTAACATAGCTTTTACCATCCATCTCTTCGGTTCTATATTCCTTCCGCGTATTTCATCATTGTCTGTCTACCATCTATTCCTCACGTTATCATATTTCTTCTATCATCTCTCCCTGTCCTATTCTTCTAAGATTTCTCCTCCCTTCACCATTTATACATATCTGTTCACGTCTTACCCCCCTTTGTTGATAGAGCTATAGAACGAGAATACTTCCATCAATTGGTAAGATGGCCGAGTTGGTCTAAGGCGCCAGGTTAAGGTTTACCTTGACTCCACAACTAGTAATAGTTTCCTGGTCTCGCAAGAGGCGTGGGTTCAAATCCCACTCTTATCATAACTTTTTGCTTTTTGTTCATATCGATTGCTTTTTGATCTAGTTGGTGAAGTTTTATAGTCAAAATTTGTGTGGTTTGGTCGGTTAGTTCGGTTAAGAAATTTTCTTTTTTGTGCGTCTAGTATGATACGTCGGCAATATAAAACCAAACTTACTTATTAAGATGGCATATTAATTCAGCTATAGGAAAGCTAACTGCATCTTATATGTTAGATCTAGAAGAAAAATCTCTAGAACAACAACAGGTATACTATCTCGGGTATGACACTTGCATGGCATATTGTGAAAAACTAAGTCTATATAAATCGTTCAATCTTAATTGCTTAGGGTAGTCCTTTCCATACATTTTTGCTTCTTAGATACATAAGGTGTAATAAGGTCAGGTGAACACTTTCAGAAATGACAGGGATTTCCGTCAATACAAGTCCCTTAAGCTGGACCAGATACTAGCTTACCTGATCCAGTAGGTTTGGATAAGTCCTTAGCGACACCTCGAAAATGTGGAGCTAGATTTTTGGGCATTAAGAAGGTAGATAGAACTAGCCTGCATGTTGATCTAGGTTATAAATGAGGGATACATCGATGAAAACGTGTCTTGTTTCGTTAAACCTTCGAGCACCTAGAACATAGACCGTATTCGATAACGAAGAAATCCAGAAAGCTGAGAGAAAATGTATTCCTAGGCGTAGAAAGAAGAACATGTCCCATCATCCCGCAATCAAGTTGCAGCGACCGTAGATTATGGGATTGAGAAAGAAGAACAGTCACAAATGCATATATGTCACCTGTTCCGACATAGATCCACTTCTCTGACAGGGAAACTGTCTCTTTGTGATATCTTTCACAGCGTTTACCTAATCCGGTAATACAACTGACTGTCACTAGAAATGAGAGCTAATCGAGTCTCCATCTATTTGACATCAACTCGTCTTCCTGATCCGCTGCTGGATACAGTAACTTCGAGGAGATCATGCTCACGTGGTGGACGTTCGTGAATGACACGCCATGGCCCGCTTGAGGGGAGCGGGTCTGTCAATATCGACTTGGCAATATAATGAGCTCTCCGGGGAGTGAATTTCCTCATTTTGATCTGGTGAAAGTGTGTAAGAAGATTTTCCAGGAATGGCGAATAGTTGAGAGAATCACATTCATGCAAGTCAAACAATAGGATCATTAGAAAGTACAGATATATTCTGGTTTTTTCTGCGGAGTTGGGGACCCGGGGCGAAGACGTCACTTGGCCCCTGCAGATCTGAGGATATTGTGGGCGAAATACCGCTATCCATGGATTTTACCACTTTATGCCACGATTTGATGAATTAAAAGAGGGATAATCAATAATGGGAGACTTACATCGTACTTTACATAACAATAGCCAATGTGATTGTGTTCAAAGGCCCTCTAGGAAGGCTTATATGCATCTCAACCTAACCATCCGGATGTCGGATACGAACTTAACACCGCGATCTAAATATAGGAAGCAGGAAAAACTGGGGATAAGTGGAAAGCACGACAGTCAATCAATTACAACGAGCCCATCCCATGTGTATGATTCAACGATCGCTACCAAATGTATCATCCCACCTTGAATATACTAATTTTGGCCCGTTTGTCCTGTAAGATTTGCTCTACTCAGCCTTGGGTTGAGGCTGAACAAACAGTCTGACCTCATCTATCTGCGTTGGAGACTAGTCTATTCCTGGAGTCGTATATAAAGACCAGCTAACTAATGATTTGATGCGCTATGTTTTACGAAGTAGACGCTGATCTCTCGTCACCACTTTGGCTTAAGAAATATCATGGGCCCGTGTGAGACAGCCAGTACACCGCATGTCCTCAACCCTTAAAACATCACCAATAATATAGAGGACTGGTTTGAAATCAAGCCTGAATGCGTTGACATCAAGTGAGACCCAGTCAGGTTACTTATTTCAATACCTATGCAAGGGAGATTTCCAGTTTAGTTTCCCGATTGACCTTAGCGTCAGGCTGTCCGTGGCTTCCGTGAACTAACTATGGGATATATTTGAAACTTGCACAGACTCGGCCAATCAACGTCTTTGATACTTTTAGAATTCCAGGGGTGGCTACTCGGGCTGGCCCTTCACCCGGATTTCGAGCACATAAATACCCCAGAATCATCGCATTTTCTACAGTAACTCGCCATACAATAGAACATCTTACGCCATCTCACCATATTACCAGCAAATTCTATATCTCTATCAAAATGAAGTCCTTCTTCTCCGTTACTCTCTTCATCGCCGCGGCCATTGCTCAGAGTGCCACCATCGGACTCCCCACTGAGAACCAGGAGATCAATCCCGGCACGGAAGTCGTCGTCCAAGTGCAGCGTCCTGTAAGTTCCAGAGTGACCTCATCACAGAAATCCGGTTTACTAATTGATCATCCAGAACTCTCTAAGTGGGTCCACGGAGGTGGGCATAGCGATCGGCCTCTCCTCGTGTGCATCCGCACCTTGCAGGAGCGCAGAGGATATTCTTGGAACAATTCTATACAACGGGCCTTTCAGCCCTGTGTACCACGAGACCAACCTGCCCCCGTATGAGAACTTTACGATCACTGTGCCGGCTTCGGCTACCGTTGGCAAAAGCCAGATTAATGTCGCCCATGCGGCTCTGATTGGTGTAAGTAGATCTCTTGCATTGAAAGGAATTCAAGCATGCTAATTGAATTGCAGGCCGGTCCTTCCGCGTTCTTGGAGTCTTTCAACCAGACTGTCTTCGTTGTCTAGATTGGTGCCAGATCTAGAGTCTGGAGTCGGCTTTGTGCCAGCTTCGTACATATGTCTTTTCATTCTTGTTGTAAATCGCATTTTGTTGTGAATATGCCTTAAGTGGATTTGTTGATATATTTGAATACAGTTCAGTTTCGCAAATAAATTTGGTTATACATCTATACCTCCAACAATACGCTCGAATGAAAGATATGAACCGTTCTTTAATGTACAGGAGAATATGAGCAGCAGACGCCTTTGAAAGTGGCGTTGCCCGGGTCTCGAGGGTTTCTTTGTTTAGGACCAACCATTTTTCATTAGTCTTTCCTATTGAACTCTTCATTCGGACATAGCCTCTATTCAATACTCAACCTATAACTGGTTTGATTCTTTCGAGTCTTATTGATACCTGGACCGGGCCATCTATAAAATCCGCCTGTTCATCTACTCTTTGTCCCGATTCTGACATGAATAAGACTACAACAAGTCTCAATAAACATCATGTGCACCACTGGGATTCTCCCTCGGAAATGAGAGCTTTCTCTTGTCTTCGATCCCACGGAAAATCCGCACATCGTCACTCGTTAATTCTGTCATGATGGACAAGGTCTTCTCTCGCGACTACAACCCCATCCCCAAAGCAGATGCCGATGGGGACAGCGATGTCACCATCACGAACAGACCGCCCCGCCGGGGCCTACAACAATTTTTGAAACGAAACCTCGCCGCAATAACCATAACCGGCCTGCTGATGGTCCTGTTACTCCTGGTGATCGCCGTAATCACAGCCATCGCCGTGGAACCCTTCCGCAAGGTCATTGTCCTAAAACGGCCACCCTCTGACTCGCTCGCATACCCCGAATCACTCGAAGGCCAGCGACAGTGCCTGCCACCAGCTCCACGAGTACGATACTCATGCGGCAACTCAACCAAGGAGGCCGAAGCGCTCGGCTGTGCCTACGACCCTCTTGCTGGCTGCTGGCTGCACAAAGAATGTCCGCATGACTTCACGCACGAGTTTGCGCATTTCAACAATGGAAAGCCCTTTGTATATTTCTATGACGAGGCTGCCACACAGCAAATGAAGGATTACACCGAACTCGGCAATAACCCGGACTTCTACTGGACTGCTGTCCGTGAGCATCTGGTCCATTGTCTGTATCTCCTTCGTCGAGGCCACGATGTCCACATGCGTGGGGGTCGTCTGGACAATATGCTTGGGGATCTAGAGCATGTCGATCATTGTACCAACATGTTGGCTAATTGGCTGCGGAGACCGGATCCCGCTTTGGAGGAGATAGGCACGCAGGGCCAGACTCATTGCTTCATGTCCTGTGCTTGATTATTGGGTATATATATAGTCATGGATCATGGGATCAAATAAGACGGATATAGGCGCCAGTAATCCCGTGTCTTGGACAGATGGTGTTGAACTTTGTATTGTTTTACTAAAAGTCCAGAATGACAGTGGCTTTCCAGTGTTTCCCACTATTATGTTATATATCTTGATCCAAAAAGAAGAAACAGACATAGTCTATTCTGATTTATTCCAACAATACTTGAAGGTAAAAATAAATATAGGAAATTCAAGCTTTCCGGGTATCTAATCTCCGACTTGACTTCCGTTATGTCCGCAACCGTGAAAATAGGCCTCCACGAAATTATAGGCTCCTACGAAACTATAGGCTCCAACTTCTTTTATAACAATCATCCAACTCGCACCTATCTCCCAGAAGCTCCTATTCACATACTCAAAATGCCTCCCAAACGTGTCGCGATAGTCACCAGCAGCACCCGCAGCCCCCGGCTCAACCCCACGATAACGCAGTACGTCTATGACGTCCTCATCTCCGACCCGACAATCCCAACAAACCACAGCAAAGCAACCGACACAGACCCGCGCCACATAACCTTCGAAATCCTCGACCTGGCAAAGCAGTCGCTACCCCTCTACGACGAATCCGTCATCCCCGCCGGCCTGCCCGCCGAAGACCCCACCCCGCACTACAGCAAAGCGCACACGCGGGCGTGGTCCGCGGTGGTGCGCCAGTACGATGCTTTTATCTTCGTCACGCCGCAGTATAACTGGAGTATCCCTGCGAGTCTGAAGAACGCGCTCGATTATCTCTACTTCGAGTGGAAGGGGAAGCCGGCGGGGATTGTTTCGTATGGAGGGCGGGGTGGTGGGAAGGCGGCGGATCATCTGCGTGGTATCTTGACCGGCTTGCACATGAGGGTGGTTGGCACGGCGCCTGCATTGCCGGTCAAGTTTACTGGGTTTCCTGTTGGGACGTTGTCGGAGGAGGAAGAGAAGGTGGAGCTAGATGAGAGGGATCTTGTTGGATGGAGGGAAGCTGGGGTTGAGGGGATGATGCGAAACTTGGGAATGGAATTGGTTTGTGAATTGGATAAGGAGTGATCTAGTCTTCAGCAGATAGCATGGCAGGTTCTTCCTGGTCCGATGTGATGGAACTTATGATTTAGTGAAAGAAATCGACCTAGTACGAGTACGTATACTCCTTAATAGTAGATTTAGCAATACACTCGGCGCTCCGCAAGTTATTGAGAGACTAAACGGTAGTATACGGATTTATAAACCTAGAATTCCCCTTGAAGTTACTATTACTAATAGCGAACGCCTCGATACAGCCGGTTACGCTTCCCTCCTTATTAAGATAGGAGACTAGACTGGCCGGATAAAGGCGTAGATTCTTAATTCAGAGTACGACCTCATCCTCGGCCTTGACTTCGAGATATCGACCTTGGAGTCTCGACCACGCATGAACCTCGCAGTGTAGTCAGATAAATCTCAAATATGAATGCCCATGGGGTCTGCACCACTGGCCAGAAGCATCCGAACTTTTTCCGGTGAATTAACGCGAATAGCAGCCGTGAGTGGAGATTCGTAGGTGCCCATATTGCTCCCACTGACGTTGGCATTGGGAGAACACCCCGCTAGTTCACGAAGTGTTCTCTTGTGGTAATCCAAAAGAGCATGGAGGACGGCTGGATTGGAGTTACCAGCAGCCCTAATGGCCGCAGACTCCTCAATGCCCCAGGCTACATCTTCTCTGGTGAGTTTATATGGCATGGTATGGTTGTGATTCTTACCTTTTTACTACTTTGGTCCAGTAGGCAATGAAACCTTCTATGATCAATTATGTGAGGAAAAAGTAAGTCAACAAGACAACACAAAACAGTCCAAAGGCGGTCTGCACACCATAATCTTTAGCAAAGTCCTGCAAACGAATTCACCTATGAGTGATAGAAGATATAGAACTATTCACCGCCCACTTTTGCTTCGGGATATCTATAGTCCGTGATCGTCACCAACCCTTTGATTGCTCTTGCCTTGAAGCCACTGGGGAAATATAAATACCTGGTCCTCCCCCCAGATTGGTTCTCTTTTTTCTTTCTTCTTCATCCTAGTGCAAGGGCTTTACACGTATCAGTGAGGAGACATCCGAGATCGTGTTTTTGCTAGTTGAAAACTACCACCTTGACTGCTTCAAGTGAGCCTCGCGGCTTGCTTGGGAATTTTTGAAACATACTTACTCTACCTCAACTCCTTGACTCTTGAGTCCTCGAGTTGAATTCCTTTGAATTTGATGCCATGATAGATATTTGGACTCAGTCTTGAGTTCTGAGTGTACGATCACATGCCATCACATTAAGATCTTTGTTTTGTTTGCTCGTTTGCTTGCTCGCTTCCTGTTTGCATTGTTTATTCGTTTGCTTTCATTGATTGTTTGTCAGGTATCTCAGCGAGAGGTTTGAGGTTTGCAACGTTTGTAAAGTGAGCTGTATCAACAGGCTGCTTCCCACTTTGCACCTGCTTCTTTCCCTCTCCATCTTAGTTTCTGAATTGATTGCACTCTTTCCTACTTGAGAAGACCTAGCATGTCACAGTCTTCACGTAGAGCTTGGTATTTGCATAGGTAGTTGCCATAACTACCGGTTTATTTCACATGATCCTTCCTTCCTTCTTTCCCTATCTATACTCCGTCCCTTCCCTCCTCATCTGATAGGTACTGCATTCGAAGGATAGTATGTATTAAAGTCACATTAGATGTGCCTTGGTAAGGTATGTAACTAGAATGTATGGAGGTTATGTACTTTTGGATCGTCAATCATCTCAGTCAGTACTGAGAATGTCCTCGCGCGTGATACCACTGCGTTCACACATGGCCCGGAAGATGCCATCTGCCTTATCCCACAGCGCAACTGGTGCATCCATCTCAGCGATCCGACCCTTATCCATAACGCAGATGCGATCGTAGTGGATGATCGTGCGCAAGCGATGCGCAATACACAGCAAAGTCTTCCCCTCGAAGCCCTGAGCCATAGTGTACTGGATCTTCTGATCGGTCTCGAAGTCCACGGAAGAGGTCGCTTCGTCGCAGACGATGATACGTGCGTCGCGGACCAGTGCCCGGGCCAGCGCCATCAATTGCCGCTGGCCTAGGGAAAAGTTCAGACCTTCGTCGTCGACAGGTGATTCGAGAGTGAGTTTGTTTGTCGGGCGCGCTTTCACGTCACTGTCTGTGACTGGGGTTGTAGTTCCGCTGGCTAGCCCACTTGGCAGTTTCTCGTCTTCGGATTCTTGCTCTTGTTCAATGAGGTACGCCTTGCGCAGCGCGGACCATAGTTCGAGGTCATCGTGCTCGTTGAACGGATCAAGGTTCGAGCGGATCGTGCCCTTGAATAAGGCTGGGTCTTGGGGGATGATGGCAAGGCGGGATCGAAGGTCGTGGAGGCCGACGGTGGAAATGTCGATGCCGTCAATTTTGACGCTACCTCCTGATAGTTCAGTTAAACGGAATAGTGCGGACATGATACTCGATTTGCCGGCACCGGTGCGACCGACAATACCAATGCGCTCGCCTCCCCGCACATCCATGGTGAGGCCCTGCAGGACGAGTGGAAGCTCAGCCCGGTAGCGCATCTCCACGCTGTTGAACTCGATGTGGCCCTTGTCAGGCCAGCTGGCTGGCACCTCGGCCTGATGCAAAGGCGCC